AATGTGGACAAGAACCTATATCCGAAACGCAATCTAGTAAACAGTGCTGTTCTACTGTGTGATATATCTAATAAACAGACTAAAATGGAATAACTGTTATTGATTGTAAGTTTTTGATGGTATCAGTCAAAATCGTCAATAGTACGAATATAGTAATAAAAGCAAACGGGAGCTAATGTATGCCTCATCTTTATTTTTTAGAAAGCTTGAATCTACTATGGTAGTAATTGCAATCGCCTTCAAGTTTTACCGCTATCTTATACTTTTGTTTTTATGTTACTGATCTATTTCGTTGAATTAACGTTATTCCTATTACCATTGTTATCACTATTATTCATCCGGAAACATTTTATGTGACTACTAACTTTTCTGTTTCGAATGATGTCATTTACTCTCAACTGATTCACTTCTCACCTCAGTGCCAACATTATTAATTTTTGATAGTGGATGATGATAGAGGATGAAATGAAAATTTTACCAATGTCATCACTATTTTCTCACCCGAAATTCACATAATTCTTTAGACTACATTTCGATCTAAATTCATATTTGATGATGTAGTTTATACTCATAGTTTTGATGTTGTAGCGTATAAATTTGTACTCAAGCCATTCAATTTATACCCCCTACTCTTGCCTTTTGCATTACCATCTGACCTATAAAGTTGTTCATTTCTATTTTGCTACACCGAAATCGATGCCTCAGTTTACATTATAGATGCATATATGTTCTCTTGCATTGCCTAATGGCATACATTAAACAAGCATCCAGCTGACGAGTTCGACTGAAATTTATGAACTTATTAAATCCTACGTTTTCAAAATTCCTTATTTGTTTTAAATTTTTTATCAGGAAACAAATATTTTCAGTGGAATAATAATAACAATTTTCAGGTTGGTATTCATCACGGACTCACAGTTAAAGGAACAGGAAACCTGGGAGCACTGAACATATGTGACTTCCCAACAGTGCTCACCTATAACCCCGTGGGTTACAAACCCAGTACCTTCGGGTTCCGAGGTCAGCACGTTACTGTTGAACCACTGGGTCAGAACTCAGTGACCTATGTTTCCTACTTCTATCAGTTCACGATGTAGCGTGACCTCCATCCAATGTTGTCATAGGGTGACTGTCCTCATGTTCGACTTAGTTGACCCCACTGATAACGACTTCTCATTGGGACTTCGAGAATCATCCCTCGAATCTAGTCACGAATGAGCATTAGATTAATTCAACTTTGAGGTGTGTGGGGATTTGTATATTGATTCCAGGTTGGCATTCATTCTGGATTGACATTAGTTGGAGAAACACTGGAAACGTGAGAGCACTGGACAGTTGTTCGTCCTTGTATGTGTTCGATCCGTAGGGGGGTTCTTGAATGCGCTCTGCTGAGTCGTATACTAGGATGAAATAGTTGTTCAGTGCTTTCAGGTTTCCAATGTTCTTCTGACCGATGTCACTCCATGGCAAATACCAACCTGAAATTAATAACTAAATCCTTACAAACCTTAAAATTGAATAGACATTTTGTTCAAGCTTTTCTTCAATTGAGCCTCTTATTATATCAGTCTTCGTTTTCTGTTTCTCGTGCGAACTTCCCACAACGCTTTTTTCGCATATGACGTGCAGGTCAACTCTTACTACATAAATTGTCGTTGAAAGTCTGTACGACATCAAGGGGTTTCCGTTAAAATTAAATTGGTATTTTTCATTACTGCTATCCTTAATTGTTCTTATTTGATTTCACGTAAAATTTTCCCCTTGCCCTAACAGAATTGTTCAATAATCCCTAGTGTTGGTCTAAAATGTTCCTAATAGATTAGTACTTATAAGGCTATAAAATGCGTGAACGTGTAATTCTTACACTGTTAAGTAAATATAGAATTTTATATTCTACCTTTACGTTTTTCTGTCAATCGAATTCACTGTGTAAGGAAACATCTACTCACTGGTTGTCATGTGGGCAAAATACTTGTTGTTAGGCTCAGCTTATGTCACACCTGTATTAATGGGTGATGGAAAGTAGTAAATCTGACTTTTATCGCGTATACCTAGACTGAATGTGGATCGTCACGCATTTCAGTCATTAAGTGTATCTCAGTACATAGCACTTTAAAAATATCAGCCTTTTGGAATCTCACTTTTTACGCTGCATATGTTTATTTCTATATCACTTTGTTCCACTTTCGCGACTGTACATAGGCATTAAAACGTCCCAAGAAAAAAAGGATTACGCAGAAACCACTGATTTAACACACTGGCTAGCGTTTGATACCTAACAATCGTGATGATCAGGAATTTCACTTCAAGTACCATTGTTCATTCTGTTTATTCATGCGTGTTCAAAAAGTAGTTGATAGATCGGTAACGGTTAGATTTTTATTCTTAGGAGCACTCATAACCCAAGTCTCTTTGAGTTCTGTAAAAAAGTGATATCATAAACAAAGATAAACCAATGTGAAAGATTGCACAAACGTGCATCAGTTCACTTTGCTACACTTCACAGCAGCATGAAAAATGAACAGAAAACAGTGATACTACGGTCAAGTAATGTGTATGAAATCAAACGAAATGCGTAGATCAAGGTTAGTGTAAATATTTAAAACACAAAGTGTAAACGTCTTCACTATTGTAGCTGATTCTGAGTTGTATCACCAGTGGTTTCAAACCATTAATTCTTATGATCACAAGGTTTCTATCCAGGTAGCTAGCATTTCCTACTCATTTCAGACTGATAATCAAAGATTTCATTGACTGGTGCCAAATCATAATCTAGCCACCTTTAAATTTGTGTCAGCTCAATCCTACTTTTACTAACATTTTACTTTGAAGTAAGAGGTGGCTCAACTTGCACAACAGTTGTCCAAACCACTGCATTTGGTGACAGTTCGCAACCTAACATTCTCTCATTTCCTACTACCCTTCGTCTAACCTCAACATTACTGACACATAGATTCTACCACATCTGAGCAAGGTAACAAAGACACCGATGATTTAAAAAGCCTGTATTCTCCCCTTATATCCGCATTACAGATTTGAAGTCTGGAGCTCTTATCTTAAGCTTTTATGTTAATCCCTAGAGGTAATCCGAAAGCACTAGTATGAAACTTCTGAATTTACTTTTTAATATCTTATGAACACGTGAATTCTTTAAACAATTTCTTACTACATAAACACAATTGAGTCGCTTGTTCATTTTTCACAGGATAGTTTATTTCTTATGGTTAGTAGTGTTATTCTCATTCTTTTCACTTCTCATTTTCTCACCTTCCCTCAACGTTTTACTTAGTAAATTGAAACATTTTGTATTTTGGTTTTCTTCTCATCCTTCTGTTCTATCTTACTTGGATGTTTGTTTTTTCTTCAGTTTTCTGTATAGGAAGTATTCAGTTCTTGTCTTGTATTATAGAAAATATACTTTCATTTAGTTAGATTAGGTGGTACTTTTTTATGTATTTGTTAACTTTACTATTTCTTGTCTAAAGAATTTCTTCTTTTATTAATTTCCTGAAAATGTGAGTTACTTTTCTTATGTAGGGACTACATTCGTTAACTAAATATACGAGTACTACTGTGTTTTCTTAAGCGTTATATACACTATGATGGATGGTGGCATAGTTTCGTGGTTGTTTTGTGGATAATGCTAGTTGCAGTATCCATGTTGGTTTCATTGTATTGGTCAAGTTGAGTAGATACTAAACTTTTGACAAAAATCAGTCTATTTTTCGGTGTAACTGTGATATTGTTTGCTTCCTTATGCTCTTCGAGTAAACTGCTTTTAAAAAAGCGTCACGTAATTTTTTATGATTGATGATTAGCCATGAATTTTTTACCTTTCTTTCTAGCATAATAAAAACTCAGAGTAGGGTGAAGTTTTATTTCATTATAAGCATTCTCTGCTTTCAGTTGACGGTTACTTTCCAACACCGATAGTATATTTGCCAGCATGCTGTCCTGGAGCAGCAGTTTGCATTTGGGTGGTTAGAAACGCACTACAAACATTCTCTAATCGCCGTTCAAGTTGTCCAGAAAACTCTGCATTGTATCAGCCTCTTCGCTAAACAGCATTATGTTATCTGAGTACTCTGAAGTATATCGCATATATTACTGACTCAGAGACACTAAAACCAGCGTAGCTTAAAAAAGTGTTTTAATTCTCATTATCAGAATATGTTGTGCACACATTGTCCTTAGACTTTATGACAAAATTGTTAGTTGATGGTTGACCTCAAGCAATGAAAACCACCGGTTAGCAATTACTAAGTAACCATTTCCTTAAAATTGATTACTTTCTAACTGAATTGAGAACCTATAACCAGCATAATAACCTGTTAACTGTAAAATGAAATTCTCGTGAAGGACATTTTCAAAGTTAGCCACTATTTGGTATTCTCTGATTACTACGACAGTGTACTGTAACTTTATTACTATTTTAGAAAAATTAATTCATTTGCGTAATCCAGCTACGAATCAACTTTAAGAATTAAGTTCATTTTAACAAATTTGAAATGAATCTGACATGGCACCCTACTTAGAATGCTGATGTACAGGAAAATAACTGATACATAATTTAACCACCCTCATGTTTAGATTACTAATACTATTGTGCAGTTACTGTTCAGAAAAGAGTGTTTTTCGGATTTGTATACCTTTGATTCACCTTTAAATGAATTTTATTTAACCTTTCGTCCATTTTCTAAACGGTAAAGTACTGGAAAGATTTGTTGTAAGCCGTAGCTCTAATGCCGATATATGTGCTGACTAACAGTTCTTATTTCCACATAACATTGGTCATTTTGCGTATTTATAAAAACAGTCATATTCAGAAAATAGTGTTCATTACATCTTATTCTCTGTCGAATAACCGTTGATAACCAAGCTGTCTCAAACATTCCCTTTATTTTACCGTTAGGCTTTTTTGGATTATCTTCAAAAGTATTTTAATTTTCTTTTTTTCCTAGTCTAGTTTTTTTCACACTCTTTTCTGTTTTACGTTTCAGGAGTTTTACGTGATTTAGTTCGCATCTCTGGGATTGTTGCCAAACCAGCAAGACCAGCACATCCAAGTAATCAACCGATTCCTGTAGTAAATCAGTCCACAGTAGATCAGTTAGTTAGTTCATCTACTTCATCATTCAGCCAATCAAAAGACATGAGTAATTGTAACAATAGTACTACTACTAGTAGTAATACTTGTTTGCAACCTGATGAAAGCATACATTCCACATTCAATAACAGAGCTTACAATGATTTGGCAATTAATAATGAAGAAAATCAAAATATCAACAATATTACAAATGATAAAACCAGTGATTTATTAAATGATATAGCTCGTGTAGCTTTAAATCGTAGTCTTTCAACGCCGTGTAAAGATGCTGCTAGCAATGATGTTAGAGAGACAAAACCACAACAAGATAGTAGAAGTTCAACAAATGGGCATTATTATTTAAATCAGAAATTTCCTCTGTCAGATTGTGATAATTCAATCAATGTCGTTTATTCTAATCATTCTACAACGGGAATAAATACTACTGACACTATTACTGCTACAGCTGATGATAATGTTCGTCAACCATTTACACGCAATTCACTTTACGCCACATTTAATAAGGTAAACTGTATTAAGACTGTTTCCAAGTTTGTTTCTTGCTGTTATATTTGAATAATATAGCGTGGTGATTGGGACAGCTGTTAGGTGGCTACTCATACCAACACCAAGCGGAAAGCCAGAAATCTCACAAGATTTTCTATTGCACTATGGTCCTAATATCTCCCTCTTAATCCCTAGATCATGGATTCAAAAGCGTTGTGATTGTTGTAACTTCTATAGTTAAAGAAAGCAAGTTTTCACCATATACAACTGAATTAATCTGGTGCTTTCAGGGGTGATTTCCGAAGTTTCAACGAGAGGTCGTGGTCGGTGGGCCCAACCAACTCAAACACGAGGACAGTAACTCAGTGACGACATTAGATGGAGGTCACGCTTTATTGTTTAATGACAGAAGAAGAAGAAATACGGAAAACTGAATTCCCACCCAATGGTTCAATGGGAACATGCTGGTCCTTGAACCTAGACGTCCTGAATCAGATCCCTGGTGGGGCGTGGTCATGAGTGCACACTGCTGAGAAGTCCCTTACTAGGACGAAATAGCTGTCCAAGTTTCCAATGTTTCTCAAACTGATGTCAGCCCGTGGTGAATACCAACCTGAAATCAATAAATAAATCCCCACAAGCCTGCAGGTTGGACATACAACTGTATTTGTTCGCTGTTCAAAGTTAAATAGAATGGTTATTCTAAACAAATTATCGGAAAATATAAGAAGGGACGTTTTCGAGATAGTAGTCAACACAACTGGCTACAGTTGTAAAACCGTAAAAATTCTTAGAGGACAAGTCAGATGATAAGTCGAAGCATGGGACTCTTCAACAGGATGCACCAAAGACCTCGTCAAGCTGAGAAGAAGCTAATTTTCATCCAACTTGTGTTCAGGGGAGAATAATCTAAGAGTAGGACCATTTGGCGACTAGCGACTTTGTCTCGTGTATGGCTGGTGCTATCTTATGTGCCACAATGTTCAGATACTTAGATAACAGTGAATAAACATTCGTTTCATAACGCAGAATAGCATCTCCTAAGTCATAGATACTTGCCCAGTCCAAAATGTTTATCTTTTAAGGGAATCTATGGATCATCCACATTCCAGTTGCATATCACTTACTAGATATGAAACGTTGTGTCAATATCAAAGATAGCTTTCAAACATTGTCGACAGCAACATTTCAGTTTACTCCACTATACAGACGTCATCTTATTAATATCCTCAAGTCTAAAATATACATATAAAACTAATAATTACTTAAGCTGCAGCGGCTTTGGTAATGAATTTCTTTTTTATCTTCCACAGTGTCGTAGCAAAATTTTTGGAACAGTTTACTGTGCGTAAACTCAATCTTTTGTTCAGAATAGTTTTATTATGTCTCACTTAGTCCACAAATGCTTCCATCCTTGGAAATAAAATTATATTCACTTCTTGAGACACCTTAAATAGTTTTTAGGTTTGAATTTAAATAGCTAACTTATTCATTCAGGCATTCTACATAAGTATCGAAAACATCGGTTTCTCTTACGATTGCAGCACAGTGACGAATTTTACACCTCTCTACGAAGCTTAGATAAAACATCGATCAATCACTCAATTGACCCATAACTTGTCTTGTTCTGATCATCATTGATGTTCTTGCAGATCACTTGTTTTGTTGTATTACTTAGAGTCAGGTGTGGAGTAGCTTTGCTCTCATAATACAAATTTGTAACCTTACTTGATGCTTCTTTGCGACTTCATATCTTCTTTTCCGTTCATTGCTGTAATCTTTACTCCAAAAGTCAACATTTCTCACTCACCTACGATTTTAGTCGATAGACTCAGCATGAGCAACGCATGTCCACAACCACCGACTTTCCTTCCTTTCCAAGTACATTTCATCTAACCTTGTCTCCGCGAACATGTTGATTTCACCGTATGCAAACAATGCTGCGAAAACACCTATGGTCAGAAACTCCTAACCGCTTCATATCTTCTACTTTCAGTGGCCATATCCCACAGCCGTATAGTAAGGTAGAGCAGGCCTCAGCGCAGTGTACTCATCCTTTAATAGGTAGTGGGGTATCTCCCTGGCTCCAGAAATGAACTAAATTGACAAATGCTTTCTGTTTTCGCGTTGAGATTGCGTCAGCAATCAACGCGTCATTGGTGATGCGACTTCTCTAGTAATCTTATATGTGGTAAGTGTGAAAAGCACACCAAACCTGCTGAGATTTCTGCTTAATGCTTCTGAAGACCCTGCATTTTGTCAACGTCTTCTCCTAGTGCATCTTTGGTGAAGTTGAACTGGAACGGTAACGATGGGCATCCCTGCTGAACACCACTAGTTGTTATCAATTCAGATTACAACTCTCCTTAAGCCGTTACACAACTGCCTGAGTTTGAGTCGACAGCCGCAATTAGCTCTTCGTATTTTCTCGATACTCCGTTTACGGTGAGATACATCTCATCACCTTTTAGTCGACAGAATTAAATATCGTTTTCAGGTCGCGAAATACGGCGAGCTTTGGCCGCCGGTGGATGTGCATGTGTTCCAGAACTTGTCAGATAGTGAAGATTTGATCGATGCATCCTCGTCCAGGTCTGAAAGTTGCCTAGTTTTCTCTAGCTCAAGTTAGGCGTCAGATAACTATTGATGCAAGGATTTTGGACACCATACTAGCCGAACTGACTCCCCTAAGGTTTTCACAAGAAAACCTGCATATTACTGATCCTACGTCGTACTCTACTATCCATTTCACGACAACTTGTTTCTATCTAGACTTACACATCAATTTCATTCACGGTTACTTAAAACAATTGTCCTGTTAGTCAGAAACGCATGACATCACTGTTCATTACGTTCTCACTACAGGTTTTTCGAATTTTACATTCAAGTCTACCTTCGTTTTCCACTTCAATAAGAAGTGTTATAAATTAATCTTACATGATACCTCGAGTGCATAGACTGAAAACACAAAGCTGTCTCCAGTAAGTAAATCATACGCTATTTCATAGGTTTCGTGAAAATATGTTTATCAAGAAATGCGGTTTGCTTGATTAAGTAGCGGGCGCAAGGCTATGCAACCACACTCTCTACCGGAGCTGGTCTGATATTTTAACTGATTCTGTAACTAGTAAATGTGCCTTTTTGTATATTCTACCCGTAAAATATTAGTGAAAACCTTTTCTTGATCCATATGTTCATGCTTATACATAGATATAACTCTATTCCTCTTAGTTTCACGTTAATTGAAAAACGCCGTTCAACTGAAAGCGAAAGATTATCCTCCATGCCGCATTTAATTTTTCCAACGTCATATTTCCTAAATTCGTGTATATTATTTCACTGTCTTCTTTATAATTGGCTTTATTTCAGAAACCTTTCCTATGCACACTTTAAAGATCCTGATAAAATCATCACCTCATACATTAGCAACCGTCCATAGTCACATACCTTAAGATTTTTCATGATTCTGAAGTACTAACTTGTGTCTTCGTATGTATATAAACTGGAATATTTATTGACCACTTACTTTATTATTATTATCATTACTATCATTATTATTATTATAACTTCTCTGTTTGCTCATCTCAGCGCCCAACTCCATGTCTTTCAAATAATTTGCCGTCGATTGGTAGCCTTTCTCAACCAAATAATCCAATGAAACGAAGTAAGTTCCCATTAATGATTTTGACTTTGTACAATTTTCACACACTATTATTCTTATAATTACTTGTCTCTTGAGTTCCTAGTGGAACATACGGACTCAGTTGCACGTCGCCATTTCATTCTCTTCTCTGTAGTCTTTTGAACTTGGCACCACGACTGCACACAAGCTTACATTTCCTCCTCACACGATCTCCTCTATACCACCGTCGCCTTGGATGCCCAACTCGTCGTTTCCCACTTGGATTCCACTCGAGGGCGTGGCCTGGCGCGTGAGGTCCCCTAATGGTCCTCTCAGTGTATGCCCGATCTATCTCCACTTTCTTCTGCATATCTGTTGGATGATGGGTTCTTGGTTGGTTCGTTCGTTGGCAGGCCAGAGTGAGTTCCTTATTGCTTATTCTTTCTGGCCATCTAATCTTCAGTGTCAGTATCGAGTGAGCATAGGCGGCAGCTGTTGATGTATGTCTGTAGTTTGTTGGAAATGCTTTTCGTAACGCCCCAAATCTCTGAAGCATCACATAGAAGCACTGACTTACTTGACACTAGTGTTGAGAATCCGGATCTTGTTCTTTATGCTGAGTGGAGTGCACTAGATCTCCGCACTGATTTCGGACTAATGAATGGGTGTCTTGCTTTTCGGATCCTGGTTTTGACATCCTCATCTGTGCCACCACCTGTAGTCGAGACGATGCTGCCTAGGTAGATAGGTGAAAGTGACAACTCCCTTTAGATTTCTCCCGTTGATAACGACTGGTGCTTGTTGTTGTTAGTTGGGTATCTTCATCACATCTGTTTTCTCTGCGTTCACCTGAAGTCCTGTTTTCCTTCGCTGCTATTCTGCCAACCTGTTGGTTTTCGCCTGTAGATCTTCGATTTTGTGCCACAAGACATTAAACATAAACCATCGTCGGCGGCGAAATCCAAATCCTCTAGGGTCCTTTCATCGGTCCAGCCAGCGTATGCCCCTCTTCTCACTCCTCACAGTTTGTTGTATAATCCAGTCTAGTTCAGTCGACCACAATCAGGAAGATGATCGGTGATAGTAGGCGGCAGTCTTGTCTTACTCCCGTCTTCACTTCAAAGGGATCACTGAGCTTTCCATTTTGGATCACATGATATGTAGCATCATACAGCATATAGCTGTTGAGTGAGGTTGATGAGGATTTGTGGAACTAAAACCGTCGTGTTGAGGCAGTTGCCAAATTACTTCTTGGTCGACGCTGTCGAAGGCTTTTTCAAAATCGATGAAGTTGAGGTAAAGATCCAGTTGACTTTTATTCTATGCTGTGTTCTATGATGATGTGTAGCGTTGTAATTAGATGCGCACATGATTCGTTTTTCCTGAGATTTCGTATATACTTTGTTCAAATGCCGATTGTTTTTGTTGATTTGGATATTTAAAATGTAATTTATTTAGCATTTAGCTGAAACTTAAGCCATTATAGCAGTAAGCTATTCAAATTCCTTAGATGATAAATATACTGATATATGGACATATTTATCCTAATCTATTTGGACAGCTTAAATTCGCACAGTATTCTAGTTTATAGGAGCTGATTTATTTGGCTACTAAATGTTGTTTACCTTTATTACACATACGTTTCTAGTTTTTCAGTGTAGTAGAAAAGGCTACAAAATTATGATAGATTGGATTTTGTGTATACAGTATTAATTAACTGTGGAGGTATGATATTTCGGTGGTCAGAAATACTTTTTTAAACAAAATATGTGGAAAAACATTTTATGGTATAAAGCAGAAAGTTGAAGTGTGTTATTACTAATATTAGAAGTCTTCTGCAGAAGTTGTAACAAAGTATTTCTTTTAGCTGTTCGTTGATATAAGTTAGTCGACGAACAACAGACAGCTGTTTTGCACAAATACACTTTACGCTGGTCTCTTCCGTTGAAACCTTGAATCTTTTAAAGGGTAATTTGTTTACTGAGTTTTTTCATTTCTTCCTGTTTTCAAATGTTTTATTCATGGTCTGACAATTGTCCATCTTTTCTCCTCATGTCAGCAATTATCTGAAAATTCAGTTGGTAGTTCGAAATTTTTCTAGTCGCTGAAGTAACCTGTGTAAGTAAAACACTACGATCTCACAAAATGTCATACCTATAGGTTTAGTAACATTTGTCATTTGCAGCTGTGTAAACCATTGGTGGCTCATAGAAAAAGATTATCATCAAATGCTAATGAAAAACCGATATCGTTTTACATATCATCATTATTATTACTATCTCAGTTTTGCATGGGTTAGTTTTTTTTCTATTGAAATGACTTATTTACACACTTATCCTCCAATTTATTACTATTATAATTGTCTGTGGTTGAACTGCTGGTTGTGATTCTGACCGAGTTGCAAGTGGTGGTCGTGGTCGTGGTCGATTCAAGAGTTTTTTGAAGTGGTCAACCCAATGTTTTATTTGATTCTCCTCTTTGGTAACTAGCTTTCCTTCACCATCTCTCATTGGTTTCATCTGTGTTAATATCTTCTCAGAAAGTTACCTGGTTATTTGATATAATGTTGTCAGGTCTCTCCCACCAGCAGCCTGTTCTGCTTCACTTGCCAATATGTCGTAGAAGTGTCTTTTGTCTGCTTGCACTCTTCTTCACTTCTTTGTCCAGTGTAGTGTTTTATAGGTTGTCTTCAGTTCCTCTTTTCTTTGTTCATCCCTGCACTGCATTACACTGGTTCATCTTCTGCTTCACCATCACTATCTTCCCCTCCTTCCTCTATCAGCTTCCATGTGTTTGTCGATATCCATTCCTTGTCTTCTTTCTTCTTCCTTCCTAACAGGTTTATGCAGGTTTCCTTTCACGTCTCTTTCAAATAGTCCCGGTGTTCTTCCACTCAGGTTCCTTCAGGAATGTTGCCTAATATCTCCCATCCTTTCCTGATGGCTGACGTGAATATGCGCTTTGTAATTTCGTCGTTCAATTCAGTCTCGGAGCGTGTGAACTTGAACTGTGGTCTATCACCAACTTCTTTGAAGGCTTTCAACTTGATTTTGAAGGTAGGCTTCTTGCACTAGATAGTGAGTGGTGTGAACCTACATCTGCTCCTCTTCTTGACCTTCTGTCAAGTAGACTGCGTTTCCACTTTCTTGGGATTCAGATAAAGATCCGATTTTTGGTGTATCCATCTAGTAGTGAACTCGAATTCATGTCGCTTTGTGGATATCCTTGTGCTTGAACACACTGCCTCACTGCAATCACCAAATCGTTGAGTGCACAGAATTCTGCAAACAATTCTCCATTCTCGTTCATCACCTCACCGAGCGCTTCTCGACCATGGTTATTTCTCTTCCTGTGTTGTCCGCTCCCAGTTTGGCATTCATGTCGCCCATTAGAATTTTGATATCACCAACTGAGGCGGTGTCTTGTCCAGTGTTGATTGCAGTTGTCTGTAGAATTCCTCCTTTTTCTTTTCATCTGCATTATTTATAGGTGCATGGCATTGTATGATTGTGACCTTCCTTCCTTTTTTTGAGTTGAACCTCGCTGTCATGATCCTGGAGGAGATTAGTTCCCACTGCATGAGAGCCTTCGATGCTGTTGGGGGCATCATGATAGCCACTCGAAAACTCAGTGTGCTCGTGGTTGTCGTCTGGATGACAATATCGGAGTAGATTATTGACTCCTCTCCAGTTGACAGTTTGGAGAATCCACTTCCATTCCATCTGGTCTCTCAGATTCCTAGCACTTCTATATCATATCTTCTCATTTCTTTTGCAATCCATGCAGCCTCGCCAGCTCCCAACATTGTGCGGAGCATCGATACATCAAAAGTTCCAATTGTAGCTGTTTATGCAGTCTGACAAGCTATAAAATTAAGTTTCGGATTTCGTTGTATATGTTTCTCAATTCGGCTACAGTAGTCTTATTTTTTTTGGATGTCGTGTCAGCGTATATAAAGTGAGAATTAGAACATATGACTGCATGAGTGCAAAATAACCATACTATTCGTTTCACAAATATTATACTTTTAAATATTCTAATTTTGATTGTCTCATACATATTATATCGTGACCCTATATGTGTTTTTAGTGGGAACAAAGTCACCACGAGTAAATTCTGTTACGGATATCAATCTTTCACAAGTCACACTACCATCTTTACGATCGGAATTTGAGAAGCGTAAGCGCTCCCTATCCTCTGTGACACCTGCAGATGTAGCCCAGCTGTCTAAAGTGGACAATGAGTAAGTTTTTTGTTTCTTTCTCTATTCCCTTTTTTATGTTTTTCCCTATTTATAAATTCCTTCATTAGATCCTTACTACTTGTTTATCAAGTTTTGAAATGGATTACATTGGAAGTTGCCCTTAGTTTAGTACTATACTGTTGTATCGTAATGCTACATTCAGTAGTGTATAATTTTGGTGCACTTCTTTACATAACACAATTTTGAGCATAACACTGGTTCAAACACTATACCCTTAAACTTTATTTACATATTTTTGTCGTCAGAGTATTTCTCACTAAGAGGAAAAAACAGAGCTCGTGCTTATGCTAAACTATTGGTCATCAGACACTAGAAAGCATGCGTCGTAATTGCTCAGTGAAAACGAAACCTACATAGCTAATGAGGTACATTCAAAGATTGCCGTTTCTATCTTTACTGCTGTATGTAATCGAACTCCTGTTCTCACTAGCATATTTTCAGGTACTTAGTTACTCATCAATTAATTCAAAGAAGAATGTTACTGTTTTCTTTTTTGTAGGTATGATAGTTTCATTTTCCTGTATCAGTCTCACTTCACTGGTGAATATACTTCATCAGCGATTATATTCCATGCCTAAAGTCACATAAAAACAAATAACCTTCTAGTGCATGCTGGGACATCTAGGAGAATCAGAACCTTGGTCGACGCACAATTCGTACTAGACATCTGTAATTTTCCTTCCTGATCCTGCTAATTGAGCTTAAAGATTCAGTTACTAAAAATATCTTCATGATACTTCAGCCAATATTTCCCTTATTGTGTAGCTGTGGCTTACCGGTTTGGGGAAATTACTTTCAAACGACGGTTCGTGGGCTCGAGTCCCCCCGCACCTACTGAAATTTGGGGAGCCAGGTAGTATCATTGGCCCTCAAACAATAAGGGCGCTTCACTGCCTACTGCAGAAATGTGCATAAGGTTTCTAAGTGCGTTTCAATTCAAAAAGATGGTGTGAGTTTGAAAGTAATACACTTGCTATACAGAGCACTGAAATTTTTATTCAGATATTGGTCATTTGCATAAAATAATTATATCCTGACAATTGAAGTAGTAGATTTTGAAATGACTTGACTTCATCTCAAATTTTTTTCACAGCTGTGAAGCACGTCAGTGACATTGTCTATGATGAACTTTTGGTTTGAAACAAACAGAAAAGGAAGTGTTACTCAATATCTAAAAAATGGGGATAGCATCATCATGCAGACTAAAGCGACATATGTATGAAATGTTTAGTAACAAAAATGGTGATCATAGTAATGTTAGGAACCAACAGATAAACTAATCCCTTGAGATTCTTGTCAATGCTGATCCTAATACTTCCTAGTTAGTAAACTAGCAAAACTTAATCAGATATCTACTTTATTTATTATGAAACAGTCAGTGTTCAAACTTCAACAGTTTACGTTAAACCAGCTGTTAGAGATTCTATAAAAACGTTTTGCAGTTGAGTTGAGAAACTATACTGTAATGTGAGAGGCTTGCAGTTGATTGAACACTACCTACACAACACTATGTCATTTGTAATCTACGGAAAAGTTTTACAAAGGCTAGATAATAAAGTAGCAGGATAGTAATGCCCAGAAACGAACATACTTTTCGATTAAGAGTGGTTTTGAAAAGAGGTTTTGTTACGGTGAAAACCAATAAACAGATTCGGGGTAAAGTGTCCATATCTGTAGAAGCGTGTAAACCAGTTAACTTAAGCAGTACGTCTTATTACATTCTTCAGATCAGATGACATTTTACCCTCACTGACTTCCAAAAAGTGACATTTTCTTTCAAGCCAACTCAAATTGGTACATGTTTCTTATTTATTAGGCTATAAGTCACAGTGTATGAAGGCTCATCGTATTACCTCGTTGTCCAGACCGAAGTAGTCGAAGTGGGTTTCGAACTACAGTCCCATTACTCGAAAGTCCAGCCCTTAAATCAATGAGCCACCGCCCCCACGTTTGTTTCTACAAGTATTTACTTCAGCAGAACAAAGATTTCATTTTCTTTCCAATGCAGTAGTTCGTCACCTAATCAACTAAGTTTGCCAAATTGATAAATTATAAGCACTGGTGACGATAGTTATGGTAAAAAGATATTGAATGTCTCAATATGTGAAGGAACCACCTCTAATTCATGACTTTGTGTGTACAAAATAATTCCTGGTTGTTTACTTATTACATTGTAATGTATCAAATTCGTTTTGGACTGTATGTAGTTGGTTCTGATTGCATTGCTTTTACGAAATTCGGTTTAATGTCCCCCACAACAAACGGTTTAAAGAATTAACAAGAGCTGCCTTCATGAGTTTCTATTCAGAATAAATACTTTATTTAATCCATAGAAAGGTAATTCGCCATCATTAATCGAGTACAATATTATTATTTATCCCTTGGGTTCCTAGTGGAACATACGGACTCAGTTGCACGTCGCCATTTCATTCTCTTCTCTGTAGTCTTTTGAACTTGGCACCACGACTGCACACAAGCTTACATTTCCTCCTCATACGATCTCCTCTATATCACCCTCGCCTTGGATGCCCAACTCGTCGTTTCCCACTTGGATTCCACTCGAGGGCGTGGCCTGGCGCGTGAGGTCCCCTAATGGTCCTCTCAGTGTATGCCCGATCTATCTCCACTTTCTTCTGCATATCTGTTGGATGATGGGTTCTTGGTTGGTTCGTTCGTTGGCAGGCCAGAGTGAGTTCCTTATTGCTTATTCTTTCTGGCCATCTAATCTTCAGTGTCAGTATCGAGTGAGCATAGGCGGCAGCTGTTGATGTATGTCTGTAGTTTGTTGGAAATGCTTTTCGTAACGCCCCAAATCTCTGAAGCATCACATAGAAGCACTGACTTACTTGACACTAGTGTTGAGAATCCGGATCTTGTTCTTTATGCTGAGTGGAGTGCACTAGATCTCCGCACTGATTTCGGACTGATGAATGGGTGTCTTGCTTTTCGGATCCTGGTTTTGACATCCTCATCTGTGCCACCACCTGTAGTCGAGACGATGCTGCCTAGGTAGATAGGTGAAAGTGACAACTCCCTTTAGATTTCTCCCGTTGATAACGACTGGTGCTTGTTGTTGTTAGTTGGGTATCTTCATCACATCTGTTTTCTCTGCGTTCACCTGAAGTCCTGTTTTCCTTCGCTGCTATTCTGCCAACCTGTTGGTTTTCGCCTGTAGATCTTCGATTTTGTGCCACAAGACATTAAACATAAACCATCGTCGGCGGCGAAATCCAAATCCTCTAGGGTCCTTTCATCGGTCCAGCCAGCGTATGCCCCTCTTCTCACTCCTCACAGTTTGTTGTATAATCCAGTCTAGTTCAGTCGACCACAATCAGGAAGATGATCGGTGATAGTAGGCGGCAGTCTTGTCTTACTCCCGTCTTCACTTCAAAGGGATCACTGAGCTTTCCATTTTGGATCACATGATATGTAGCATCATACAGCATATAGCTGTTGAGTGAGGTTGATGAGGATTTGTGGAACTAAAACCGTCGTGTTGAGGCAGTTGCCAAATTACTTCTTGGTCGACGCTGTCGAAGGCTTTTTCAAAATCGATGAAGTTGAGGTAAAGATCCAGTTGACTTTTATTCTATGCTGTGTTCTATGATGATGTGTAGCGTTGTAATTAGATGCGCACATGATTCGTTTTTCCTGAAGCCAACCATCCTGTTACTTTCGTAATTTTGAATGCAGTGCAATTTTTTAGTCTTTTCAAGATGACGCGGTGTAATATTTTGCAGCAACATAGTTCCGCATCAGTTCTTGCAAAGACGTAGTTCTCTCTTCCTTGGAAGTTTGAGAAGTCAACCCTTCTTCAATTCGGCAAGTATCTTTCTTTCCTTCCAAACCTTCTGCAGTAGTGGTGTGAGCATATCCGCTGTTGTCTCTGCGTCTGTTTTCAATGCTTCTGGCGGGACTCCATTTTGTCCTGCTACTTTCGCGAATATCAACAACTTTGTGTTTTTGAGGACTTCTGCTTTTTGGGAGGGGTTTGTGTTGACTGTTACTTCTGTGTCTGGGCTGCTGGTTGTGATTTCTACCGAGTTGCAAGTGGTTGTGGTTGATTCAAGAGTTTTTTGAAGTGGTCAACGCAACGTTTCATTTGATTTTCCTCTTTGGTAACTAGCTTTCCTTCGCTATCTTTCATTGGTCTCATCTACGTCGATCTATCCCCACAACGTAACCTGGTTATTACTTGTTATTGTTATTGCATGACTTGGCTACTGTGTTCATAGCTTTCAGGGCGAACCGATCGAAAGGTGTTATTTTCATAATGGATAGGTTTATTTCTGTATTTTCTGTCACCTCCATAATAATATTGCAGGTCTAGGATGCTCTTCTGTGTATGCTTATAGACCTTCTTATGAAACCTTGAGCATTGCAGCCCTGAAGGTGTTTAATCTTTGTGCATACTGTCTCATCTGTTTATTAATGAATCCCTCATAAGTGTGTTTCTAGCACTTGTGTAGTGTAAGTCAAAATAGTACGCTCTTCTTTTCTGCCGCTAGACTAGATGAACAGGTAAATCAGTATTACGCTGAGGTAGTCTCCATTTGTAGTTGCAGTTTAGAAAACCTTAAAGCGTATACGCTGTAACTACTGTTGAGCATTCTTTGCTAACATACACTTTACTTGATCTCGCTTTACTCAAGTACAGTCCTTGACTGTTCGTTTGAACGATGTAGGGCGATCCAGACTAACCGGTTAGGAGTCTGCAGGACAACAGCAACCAGTGGTTGAAGACTCTAGGTGATATGGTTCGGAAACGATATCATCTACTCATACTTCTTTTCTCACTTTTACTACTTTTACTTCTTTTGACCGATTTTTCTTTCCTTCTTCATCTATTATATCACCTTGTTGATATAAGCTGTGGCAACTTGGACCGTTACGCAGTAATGTCTGGTCCTATTTTCATCTTGATGATGATAATAAACTAAAGTTCCAGTCTTATTACATATTTTAAAACTTGGGATATATAGATTAGCTGAAATGAAAATAGTTCTTTCCTTCTCTACATTGTTATCGTTTCAACCTTAGCAATACATTTTGTTAATTTAGTTATACACGTATAGTATATGCAGCTCAATCGGAATTTATGCACTGTACTATTAGTACTAGTATACTATGAGCAAAATGTGGGAATCTATTTGTGCAGTGATCGATAGCAAGACAATCTGTTGTAATCTATATACATGTAATCCAGAAACTGCGTACAACTGTGGTAACTTAAGTCACATGCTCTTTTATTTGTTTTTCTACTCTGAATGCTTTTGACCATACTCTTTAGTTGGATCATGTGACATGAGAATTTGATTGAGAAATTAGATAAATAATTCTAAAATATCTTTAAAAATCCAGATGATCTTTTAGTAATTTGTCTTCTTAGCCACCCTAATCGCCAGTTATTCGTATTCAAATTACTGTGAAAATGATAACCTATTTGAAAAGCTGAGATTTTCATCGATGAATTATAATAATTTTGCAAATCCAAACAGTTAAGTAAACGTTTATCAGTTAATTGTTGATGAAACCTTCACACAACATTATTTAAATTCCCTATCTTACACTATATAGGTCAAAGATAGATATCTGTTATAAGTCGTTGGATTTTACAGGTCAGAATTTCATTTCTCAAGATTAAAATGCTTCAAAATACCAATAGTTTTTGTTGAATGACATACTTTTGTAAAAACAGGTGGTGCAGGCAGTAAGCGAAAGTTTAGCTTTTGGAAATCCATCAGTTCATTTGACTTGAAACCTGCCTTCGTCGATATGTTTAGAAAATTGGTATTTAGTTGTGACTAGAGTAGGAAAGCAGAAGTGTCATAACAGTCATACGAAACACTATCAATTCATCAATGGAACATGTCTTAGTAACTGAAGGCCCTAATCGATAAGATTCAAAATTAGATGCAGTCGTTAGGAGATATATTTCTTATTTTTCTGATCGTATTCTGTGTCTTATATTCATCATCTTAACTTACTTTCCTAGAATTCCTATTTGTTCTTTGCTGTCATGTGCATCGTATGCATTTCTCTGTTTTCTCTTGTGTTGATTTTCTTCGGCTATAGTGGTTTAGAGTATCACACTATCAGGTGTCTACCCAAACGCATCAGGATCTACGTCGCTCTACTGTATAGTGGACTAGTCTACGTCTTAAACTGGATTAGTGTGACTGAGTATGGTACAGTCAGTTGAGCTATGGCCTTTAATAGTTCTATTATTTCATTTCTTTTTTTAGTTTACCTTCAGGAAAAACTACTTGGAAGGTTGCCGGAACATCACGCTTACAGGCACACAAGGTTAGTGATGGTGAAAACGCTATGGACAACTCTATTTCGTCTACTAGTGAAAAATCTGATCAAGAAACTGCAAAACCTGGCCGTGCTGCAGCTCTAAGACTATCTTTAGAGCAAAGGAGACGAGCTATCGAAGTATCAAGACAACGTGAACGCCTAGCTACTACTAAAGCTACTGCTGAAAGAAATAATGCAGCATTCGTTAAGCTTCTTCAAGAGCGAGTGGGTTTCTTTAGTTTTAGCTAACTTCCCGTGTACTTATGTTCAGTATGTTGTTGATGAATTCCGTACCTTTTAGATCTTTAAGTGTCTTCCATGGCTGAACACATATTTATAGATTTTATATTACCTTTTGATTTCTCTAAGTCACTGTAGTGGTCCATCGTTAAGAACAAATAATTGAATTTGACAATGCCTATATACTGGATATTAACTTAGATTGTGACAAATAGAGTCAATCTCAAATAACTCCAATATGTTTTTGTACTAAGTCAGTCGCGAGGTTTTATGGCAGTATCTGATTGTGAAGGAAGTACGCATCAAGCATATCATGATTATCAAAACTGTCTTCTCGAACGTACAGGATCTAAAAAACTTGATGAGATTTGTCACCGCAGGTGACTACTCCCTGCACGAATGTGAAGTTGCTTAATGACTGAACTGGACTAATTACTCTTTTGACAAAAGTGAGCGAAGTAGTTGAGCGCATTTGGCCACTTTACTCAATTAAGAAGAGATCAACATTGTTCTTCTGGTGAATAACCAAATCTTGTTACAGATACCAAAGGCCTAGTTAGCTCTCGCCAACCTGCATCAGTTGTGGCACTGGTCACACATCTGTCTGCTTATTAGGGACCTTTGTGGGCTGCACATACGTTCGTTTTTTGATACAGTATGGTTGTGAATTATGTCCACTAGACGTGAACATAAAAAGGTTTCATGTGTTCTACTTCTATTGGCTTCATACTGTTGCCACCACATTGTGGGACTGCCACTAGATTAGGCACAGAGTCTTTGGTAAAAGAGGTAGATCTGTCGATAAAGTTGTAAACGTTCATCAACTGAGATGGCTGAGAAGTATTATGCACGCCTGGGCATTGTTTACAGATGCGTAATGTGAGTCGAAGTAAGTGTAGGGTAGAAAAAAGTTGGAGGTGACCAGATTAAAGCGTAGCATTAGTGCATGAAATTTCTGATTGTCTGTCGTAGCCATATAGGAAAAGGTAGACACCCCGTTTTGGGTCAGTTTGACAGCTGAAATCACTGCTTGGAAGCTTTAAGTGATATGACTGAAAAGCGAGATATGAACAATATTGGGAATTCTCACCATTTCTTCTTTCTTTTATTATTAACTTTGATTTACTTTGAGTTCACTCTTTATGGATTCCACTCCTCTATGTGGGCTGTTGTGAGGCATGTTATGCCTTTCTATGCCTAATTCTGTGTTGACATGTTCATCTATTTGTTGTCTTAATAGACAAGTACAAAGAAGAAATTTTTAACTCGATTAATTCAGGTGAAGTATAATCTAAATTTCCTACCACCTTAACTAGTACAAAATACACGAAAAACCTCTCTACAGTTATATCGCTCATCCTTTTCTTACAAGCAAAGCAATCAACAGTGATTTTACTTCATTCTCGGTGACTGATTGATAAAATCAACGCAGAACTTCGCACAAAGCTGCATTGGCTTAAGTTGCCATACTTCACAGTAGTACAAAAATAACAGATGGATAGGAAAAAAGTGACACTAAAGTAGACAAAGTTGTTTTTGAAAATAATCTGAAGACAACAGTCAGTCCAAACATTCAAGCATTAGAAGATATAAATCAGCTGTTCATCGTTATAAAATTTACCACCCAATCATGTAAAAATAAACAGGTTTATTGGTTACCAGTTCATCTTTGTAACTGATACGTTTTAATTTTTCTACTTTAAGTTTCGATGCTTGTTTCAATAAATGCCTGTTCAAGAGATTTCTATCTGTATTATTCTTAACTCATCTTTAAGAAAATGCGATGACGAGCTTAACATGTTGGTATATAGATTAGAGTTACTAAAGACCATGTGACCACCACTAAAAACAATACATTTGCTAGTAACTAAAGTGAAGAATTCAGAGGTGTACTATTTCTAACATGAAAGGGCAAGTTAACTTCAGTTTAGTTTATCCCATATCGTATGCTACTAATGATGCTCTACTACTGGTTTCATGTATCTTTTTTATGGCGTAGTTGATTTTCCAAGTAACTTGATAACGTAAGTGAGGCGATAATTTTTTTTGGCGCTAATCTTGTTTGATACATTAAATACTTCAGGGGGGACTGGTAAACTAACTGAAACCAAGCTACCATGCTCTGAACTTGAGTGACTTAAAAAAGGCTACTCTGTTAACGACTGAAATAGCTAATTAGGTTTCTTTATTTCGACTAGAAAGGCATATTTTCATAAAATAAGCAAGTCTAATTGGCTATTTCAGTTTTGGTTGTTTGAGTGACTTTTTAAAGTCAGTCTCTGAACACGGTTGTTTTAGTGTGACTTGATGCTAAAGTGTATAGAGTTAAACAGTTTGAATTAGCGTTTCAGTGGTAACATGTGAACCTGACAAATATCGCTCAATGGTTAGTACTGATGTGTACGACATTCAGTTAATTCTTTTCTTTTCTCAATGAACTTAGTTTCGTGCATATAATTATTATAACAGACAACTAAGTTCATCTGTCAGTTTAGTTGTCTTGATATAGTTATTACTGTTTTAACTGATAACTAAATATCTTCATTTTTTTAGTTTCATCAACGTCGAAATGTTACAGCAGAGGACAGTCAATTACCAAATGGTGTTGTTTCAGAATCTGAAGTGGCTTCTACTGTCGTACCGGCATCACCAAAGGAACCAGAAAAATTAGATCGAGGTCTTATAGATTCCGAATGTATGCAAGTAATGACAGATACTGATCAGATTACTGTACCTGCTTCTCAAATTGGTCAAGCTACGGATTTAGATGAAGATTTTTCAATGCTCTCCTCATCTACAGTTCCAAATGTTAATGAGGTAAGCAGTTAAATTTATTGCCATTAATGTTTTAAGACTCTTTTACCAAGATATGCAAAAATTTCTGCAGATGCAAATGAACTAGACTATGACAAAAGTTCGCTAAGTATTCATTTCATTCCATTCTTTTGCTTGATGTTTGAAAGAGATGAACTGTAAACGCTGAAGCCTTCTGCATCGTTTTTATTAGGGGAAAGACTATTGTTTATTATGTTAAACGCTACTTCTGGGAGCAATGAAAAGTAGCCAGTTGACTAGATATGTGGACACTGAATACCTAGTGCATTCTTGAATATACTGTCTTCTTTGTACATTATTGATAAATTGGTTTGCTTATTTTGAGTTGAAACTTTGCCTAACTTTTGAGTGCTTTGAAAGATGTAGTTTAAAATGAATAAAATATAATTGATCAGCTCTTTGTATTTATTTTTGATTTCAGTAGAACAGTAAACTAGGTCAAGGGTGGATATTCTACAAAGAAATGGTGTTTTTTCACTTTAATTCAATAATAATGATCTTAATCTAGTCACTAACGGCTCATTTTCATTTACATACCTGATAAAATATATATTGATAGTTGACATTAGTTCTAGGATTTTAAACATTTCACATTGTGTGAACCAATCGAAGTGCAAACTGCGTTGTTTACTGACTTTTTTAGATACATTTAACACTATACTGATGTGTAAAACACAAACAAGAATACGAATTATTTTACTAAGTAAACTGAAGATCACTGGCTGGTGAAATCTTTTCTTTCTGAATTTCAACTGAATATTATTATTTTTTTTCCCTTGGGTTCCTAGTGGGACATAGAGCTTCAGTAGCACGCCTCTGTTGCACTCTCTTCTCTGCAGTCTTTTCAACCTAGCGCTACGACTGCCCACAAGCTTTCATTTCTTCCTCACATGATCTCCATGTCACCCTCACCTCGAACGCCCAACTCGTCATTTCCCATTTGGATTCCACTCGAGGACCTGACCTGCGCTTGATGTCCTCCAATCGGCCTTCTCAGTGTATGTCTAGTCCAATCCATCTCCACTTTCTCCTGCATATTTGTTGGGTGATAGGTTCTTGGTTGGTTCGTTACCAGCCAGAGTTCCTTATTGCTTATTCTTTCTGGCCATCCAATCTTCAGTGTCAGTATCGAGTGAGCATAGGCGGCAGCTGTTGATGTATGTCTGTAGTTTGTTGGAAGTGCTTTTCATGACGCACCAAGTCTGTAAACCATATAGCAGCACTGACTTACTTAACACTAGTGTTGAGAATCCGGATCTTGTTCTTTATGCTGAGTGGAGTGCACTAGATCTCTGCACTGATTTCAGACTAATGAATAGGTGTCTTGCTTTTCGGATCCTGGTTTTGACATCCTCATCTGTGCCGCCGGCTGTAGTTGAAACGATGTTGCCTAGCTAACAATATATATCATCCAAATTAAATTCAGTAACATTATCAGTTACGTGATGCTAGTATGAACTCGTTTGTTGTATATACTATCATCTATGTTCTTTAATTTCACTCCTGCCGTTTTATGTCTTCTACATGTAATTGAAATGTGATCACCAATCAGTAATCAAATAAGAACTAATATCGACTGATTTCGTCAACCCTGGTTATTTCTGTCTACAGAGGAAATATATTTACTGGGTGATTGTATCACATACCACTTCTGAACAAACTCCTTCCTGAATTTATTTTGAGTATGACTTTTATACTGTACCGTTATTTATTTTTTATTTATCATTCTCAGTGAACTAGGTTGAATGAAATTACACCTGTTGGCTTAGTTTAGTGAAAATGAAAACTTTACTATATGAGATAGAGTCATTCACCAAAGCCAATTATTTTTGAGCACGGCTAAAGTTATTGAAACTCATGTATTCTATTTCGAGATTTTAAGCACAACTGCATATAAGAAAAGACAACATTTTGGAATGTCACTTTCGATTTCTGCAAACTACCATTATATTTTAAGACGGTCATACTAATTCAATGCTTTCATATTTTTTTTTGTTTTTGTCTAATTTGATTTCAATTACTTCATTTCACCGTATCTAATTATAGCCTCTACAAGATAGCTCTGTGTTCATGGAAACTAGTCAAACGATTGCAGTTCTGGAGGATAGTTACCAGTCACATGAATCCCAGCCAAATGAATCTGTGGCTTCTTCTCCTAAGTCTCCACAAGTGTGTCACAGTGGAAGTCAAGTATATGATTCTCCGAGTCTTGTTACAAAACATTCGAAGCATCATGATGTTACTAATCTAAACAATCATCGCATTCAGAATTATCACAGTACAGATCGCCGTTCATCTGTATCATGTCAAAGGTCGGATAGTGATGAATCTGATTATCTTCCATCCAATGTCTCAGCACCTCATATGATCTCCCCAACTCCTCCAAGTTGGCATCAATCTTTACCTTATCAGCGTAAAAAAGATACTAAAAGGCCAAAGTCTAGGTACAGTGAAAGAGAGTCCACACCTCAACCAGAATCATTTATAGATATGAATAATCAACAGCCTCATAAGGGTTCCAAGTATCGACGCTATGTAGACAAAACCTATTCAGGACATCCTGCTTATAATAGTCACAGTTTTGTTCCAGTTGACTCATTTCATAGTATTCAGTCTCCCTCTTTTAGACGCCATCATATCAGTCATAAAGTTCGTCAATATGATACTCTACAAAATCCCGAACAGCGAATTCTTCATAAACATATGTGTCAAAAACATCATCGTCCTCATATAATGTCTAATCAAACTATACAGAGTGGTGATTATTGTGAATGCATCTCAGATGAGGAAAGTTCAGAAACAGCTGGTGATTCTAATTACACTTATGATGATCATTCTTATCCATATGTCAATCGAATGGCTTACTCTGGCCGATTTTCTCATCGATCATTATCTAGATTAGCAAAACCCCATTCTAAGTAAGTTTTTATGTATATATTTACGCTTCAAATTTAGCAGAGAGTAATTGACTAAGTGATTAGTTTCTCTTTCATCAAGCAGCCGTATGACGAGTATTGATTTTCACCATAGATTCCATTCTTCTAGCGTCCATGATTGCTTTGCGCTACTCCTGAAGTCGTTTGGATGTCACTCGATTCAATTGTAGAATATAAATAGCGCTCCAAGTTAAGACTATTTTAGCTTTGGTAACTGAAAACTACACCATTTATAAGCTACAGATATCCGATAATCTTCTGATATCATATGGTAGAAACAACATTGATGTTAGTTATTAAATATCAATTGGCACGAAGCCATTGGCGTAGATTTCGTACTTATTGCCACTCATCGGCAAGGCGGATCTGCAACTATGGGGATGTCTGTTTATAAGTCGCATTTACTTGTGTTAATGGTATTGTGTCATGTAATGCTATCGATCATCCACTTCTGGTGTCTCACAAAGGTTTTGAGCTTATTATATTACTCGTACTAGCATTTACTGGCCTAATATAATAGTTTAGTGACTGAATGACAAAATCAATGTACAACTTCGCACACAGGTGCATCGGCTCAAGTTTCCACACTTCAAAGTAGTATACAAAGAAAAAGTGGCTAACAAAGTTGAATGTGAGAATAAATAAGTTGAAGTTAAAGGTCAGTGCAAATATCCAAGCTGTAGAAGGTGTAAAAGAGTGGATATATCTACGCCATTGTGACCAATTTTTAGCCATGTTACCAAAAGTCCTCAGCCAATCAAGCAGTGCACATCCCACCACACGACTCAGACCGACAGTAAGATGCTGGTCCTATGTTTTAGTTTGACCACCCTGAACCCTCTTCCAGATTATCCGACTTACGCTAGTGTGGCACGTTGAGTAAGGCGGTGGCTCGGCATGCGCAGTACATGTCCAAGCCATCTCACCTGACTAAGGTTCACAACCTCATTAGTCGACTTGATTGTCTTACCTAGTACCCTTCGCCTGACGTCGACATTGCTCACATGGTGATTCTACCAAATGCGAGCAATGCTACGAAGAAACCTGTGATCAACACCCTGTAATCGCTTCATGTCTTCTACCTTCAATAACCATGTTTCACAGCCGTACAATAAGATAGAACTGACTGCAGCTCATTATACTCATCCTTTGGTAGGTAGTCGTGCCACAGATGACGTAAGTTATCAAATGCCCAACGGGTTTTCTGTATTCGAACTGAGATTTCTTCAGCAACTAGCCCGTTCGGCGGGCTAATGGAACTCCCCAAGCAAGTTAAGTAGTCGACATGGTACTTGTGTTTGACAACGCTAAATCTTTTTGTCATGCTAACATCTCTAACCGATACTGAAATTGCAGGTATTTTGTGATCGGCATGTGCTTCACATATTTCAAGGAAATCATTCAATGCATGTCCACAAACTTATCAGCTGCCTCAGTCCTCATTGGAAACTGTCTGAATAGCTGTGGTGACGTCCGTGACTGTAGCACTGCGTGACGCATACTTGAATCTCACAAGGAACATCATTTCTGTCGAGGCTTCAAATGTACCTTACTAACTAGTGTCAGCAAGCACGAAACTTAAGTCTAAGGCTCTCTGTCGATTATCTGCGATCACCTGACATTGATTAAAGTTCACCGCGATTCTGAGTTCCCTTGGTGGATAGAATTCAGTCAGCACTTAGGACTTGACAGCATGAAAGTAGTTACTTTCCAGTAATCAATCAATATAACTACTTACTTAGTTTGAATTTAGTCAGTTCTGTAATATCAGTCTTTTATAATTAGGAATACAAAACTGTTTTAGTAACTTATTATCATTTCCTGTCCTGCCTAAGTTTATGTTTATTATTTTGTAATCAGGATAAGAAAGTATTGTAAATGAGTGTATGACTTTTGGAGACAAAAAATATGCAGTTTTCCGTTGAAGATTGGTAGAAAATTTATAGGGATCATAAAACTTTTTTAAATCTGTCAGTCATTTGTTGTATTTTCTTCTCCATTGCATGGTATTTCGTTACACTGCCAACAAGAACTGTAACCGTTTAACTGTTTATGAAGTTTCTATTGGTACAGTTAGGTAGCAGTCTACTAAAGAGACTTGGGTTTGTGTGGTAGTCTAAATCGTTCATACTTTGTACATGATAGTTAATAAAATAGATGTAATGGCTGATTTGATAATTCACAGTTCCTAGAGGTGTTGCTCTACAAAGTTGATTTGAAAACACATGAATTATCTCTTAGTAAGCTCAAATCTTACCTCACAAGTTCCTTAAAAGAAGCTAAAAAATTTCAAGAACTTCAAAAATGATCATTATACTTCGAATATTCTAAAGTCTCTGGTAGTTTCACGTGTAGGCATCTGAATTTACTATCTCTTGATACCAGTAATACAGGTTCTTTTAGATTCTCTTTAAAACTCAAGATTATCTATGAGTACATAAGCAAAATTCGAGTATATCTTTATTAAAGTATTTAATGTTATCAATACCTTCACTCTGTTCTAAATGTTCAAGGAGTCTTGCGAACTGCCTATTATGTGTACGCCGATGTTATGCTATTTCATTTGAATTTTCGTCTTTTAAATCATGTCGCTTTACTTTTCATTTCATAATCATAACTTATTGTTACTAGAAAAAGAATACTATCGCTTCGAGAAACAATATGAAATGTACTGTAGTACTTCACACTGATGAAATACAAGGTTTTCCATAGAAACGTGATCATATGCATGCTTTTGGATATAGAGAAAGTCATAATGAGTCTCCGGAAAACGGTCCTAGTTCCTTCAAAAGCTGGTCTGTTTCCGTTTTCATCTTGTTCTTCATTGCTTGACACCTTTGCGATCTAAATTCTTTGTAGCGACCGGTTAAGGGATGTGAACTGCCATTTTTAGACTGTTTAGTTAAAAGAAATGGCAATAAAAGTCTACGTTTATCGATTTATCGTGAACCAACACATTCAAATTAATATCTTGATTCCAACTCAGCACATCTACTCAGTGCTAAATTTTCACTTGCTTGGAACTTCATTCAGGAGGGCTACAAATAGCATCACGTATGAAGATCACAGACAAACAGAAGTAAGAAACATATTAGATGTGCTACATTCCAATAACTACCCTGGGAATGTCGTTCAAAAGTCTCAGAAACATGAACAGAGAGATGCAAGAGGAAAATAAAATGATAATTTCTGGAATAACAGTATTTCTACCATTCCTTCAAGGTACAACTGAAGAACTATAAAGTATTTTAAGAAATCGCTGAATTAAAGTATTTTAATAGACAACCATCACTCTCAGGAATACTTTAGTGCACTTAAAACATAAAGTTCCTTTTACTCCCACACAGAATTGTATCTACAAATTAGATTGTATCGATTGCAATGCTTATGATATTGGGGAATCATCCCATGAGATCCTCAGTCGGGCTAAAGAATACACAAGTTATACAAAACGACCGCCGAATAATCCTGTAGAACTAGAGAATTTACAAATCAAGTCGGCAATCACTGTTCATGCCATGTCACAAAGTTGGCAATGAAAATATTAGAATTATTCAAAAATAAAATTCCAAACTAAAAGGGGAGACGGATAGCTGAAACATTTCATATTAATGTTGAGTCCTAATCCACTCAATAGGAAGGTCTAATGGTCCGACCGATTTGGACAGGATAACAATGATATTTATGAATGTTATGCCCACACCATTATTATGTATGGACAACGTGATCTGATTTGTCACCATTTAAACTGTCGATAACTTGTATAGGTTTTATTCTCTGAAGAACCAATTTCCACAAAACTTCAAAATGTCAGAAATTGATTTTTCTACCTCATTGGAATCTTATAAATATATTTTATTGGTAATTCACTAAATAGTTCTTTTCTTAAAAGCAGGTGACTGAGTTTTAGAACCATTCATGAACGCATTCTGTTGTTGCCTTTCTACTGCACATTCTTTCTCAGTATTCATTATTTGCTGGAAATATATCTTCTTTATTGCAGAAATCGGTACAAATCCAACGGTCGCAAATCCACAGATTATGCTTACGATGTAGAAGAATTAGAAGTTAGACCGCACTCCCCGGCTGGATCATATGCTTCATCACGTGGAATGACACGTGGACCTAGAATTGATATAAATTCACTGGGGTATGGTAATAACCACTCAATAACGCCTATTGTTGATCCCGTCACATTAGACCAGATTAATCGTAATATGTCTGATTTACGCTCTGGTTTTGAACGTCTTTCGATGCAACAACAAGTTCTCTTGGCTTCATCATCTGCAACAACAGCAGCTGCTCTAGTTGCGAGCAGTTTTCAAAATCAACAACAGCCACCAGTTTCACCAGTAAGTCCACTGTATCAAGCACAAGGACTCTCGACATCTATATCAAATATATCTACGACACGTGCTACTTGGAGTGATCGACCTATTGTTCGCGATTTGAGTGTACAACGTGATATCCACTCATCATTGGGTATTAATAATAATTCGGTAGTAACAAGTGGATGCAATGAACCTAGGATTTCGAACGAACCGCTCGTGAAGGATGGTGATAATGACCCGGCCATTTCAAATGAACCCGTAAGCTTGATTTCATAAAATGTATTGCGTCGATTTTTTGTCATTGTTTATAACTCCCCAATTTTCCTTTAGGTATTATGATGATAACAAACATGTGATATAAAGAAATTGTGGCTGCTTTTAGAAGGCATACATCAGTTCTTGGAAACGTTTTTTAGCGCTTAACATAGATCTAAGTGACCAAAGGATGGAAACCTTCGATAGCACTCCTTGTACTGTCTTTCATTTTCATCTGCCTGTGTTGAAATGAAGTCCATAGCATAGTAATGTAGTAAACCAAATATAAGCCTGTTAATATGATTAGGTTAATACGTAGAGTAGTCTTTAAATTCAATTCATAATTAGCATTTTCAAGCTCAATAACTGGTTAAACTGACAGGTGATCAGTAGATAGCTTCAAGGTGTATTGCGATGCACTACACGATGATTACTGTTTAAGAAGTAGCTCTCCATTAAAATGAATATTTTCTATCTTTATTTCCATATAATATTGGTATTAGTTTGCATAATCAGCAAAATCTCCAGCTCGCAAGCTCGACGTTGGTAATTCCTTAAAAATCAACCTTAATCTTTTTAAGTTCACCTTATGATATGGGTATTTTTACGAAAACACTACCTTACTAACTATGATTTTTGTTTCCTTATGAATATGACGTTGCTTGTGTTGGTAACTGTATTCTAATTTCCATCCTCCACCTACTTTAATTTTAATAGGATGGTATCATCTTCTATCACATATCTGCTGTAGTTACCAACCTTGTACACAAAATTGTAACTTGTTTTAATGACTATAGTATGTTATACTTCATTTTTTACTAGTCTCATGATGATCATTCTAATGAAAATAAGGAGTGCCCAATTTTCGTCAGTGTTGGTGATACATCCAACTCTTCAACTGCGCCATCAAATCCATCACCTGTGGAAATCAGTCAAAAACAAGTGAGATCTCCTCTTGTCAGTGCAAATAATGCTAACCCAGAAGGAAAACTTTTCTTTATTGAATTTCAAGAGCCAGACCCTGAGGTAATTTTGCCTTTTCACGTTTACGATTTAAAGCTTTTGACAGTTTTTGAATTGATTGATAAATTTCTACTTCAAATCATCAGCTTCTTTATGAAGTGACATGTTTAGAACATATCACTCTGGTGTTCTATATATATATATATATATATATATATATATATATATATATGCGAACTGATTTGGAGTTCCATACTAGGATGAAACAGCTGTCCAATGCTCCCAGGTTCCCGATGATTCTCCAACTAATGTTAGTCCATGATAGTAAACAAAGCTGTAGGAAAAAGAACAACTCACTAAGGCTAATGCAAGGTGAACCACAAATCCCTTTTATATACATAGTTTGGTTTCAGTCGATGGATTGCTGCTGCCTCTGCACAACGTGGCAATCTACTGTATCCTTATCTGTTGATTACCTTGAGAGCTCTGTTTGAGTGAACGATATGACCTGTATCCAGGATATGCTCACCAATAGCGCTGCTTGGTAGCCTTCTACCTCTTGTATGAGTTTCTGGGTTGATTTTCTCTATATGCCTCTGTTGTTATACGGTTACATGCATCTCATGTGTTACCGGTGGTGCATGTTATACTTGTGTTTTGTTAATGTCTTACTTGAGTGAATTGTTCGATTTATGTAAGTGTCTCCTTATTACTGTCGTTTTCATACTATCAATTTTTAGCAGTTCCAAACAGTGTGAATCAGAACGCTTTTTCTCCATGTTAGCCAAATATAATGAAATATCACCAACATACTAGCATATATCAAATCGTGAATGGGATAACGTATACATTTTGGAACCTGCATCTGTTCTTGTAGGCATCCAATTTTCAAAAAATTGATCACAGGTTCTGTCAGGGAGTGTGAAATCATCAGATGTCATAAACTTTATGTTGCATTCAGTCTAGGTTGTGCGTCAACACGTGAATACGAAATTTATATCTAAATAATATTTTTAACAAGTTATTCTCCGTGACAAATGGATTTCACCTTTAGAACCACTGAAGAACTGAAAGCATCATACGACTGTTTCATGTTGGCTTTGAATGCTTCTTCAGAGTCCACAAGTGACTTCATATAAGGTTATGCTTAAAACCGTTATCTTGCAAATTCTCAAGTATACTGAAGCAGATCCACTTTGAAGCTGTTCAAAATTACACCGTTTAACCAATTGACTTTTGATTGAGAATAGATTCTCACCTATTCCGTCAGATTGTGGTCTTTGCATATCACGAATCGAAAGAAATTGGAAAATATGAGCAATTAGTGATGCCATGCACAAGCTATAAAGAAACAACTCTTCATTACTAATTGGTTCTTAGTGATCCTTCAGCTGAAATTTAACCGTAAATAAAACTTGATTAAAAATCAGGCGATTTCTGCACAAACACCCTAATCAATTAATTACCTTTACATTTCTACCTTTTGGATTCCATTGGGTCTCACTGTCAAATAATATCAGATTTTATAAGCATTTGGTTTCCTCATGCAACAGCCTTTTCTTTGCTTGTCTAATACATACAGTTCCCATGTGATTATGCGCTTTATTATTAGTAACTGAAGTCTAGTTACTTATAATTCACATGTATGTATCATTTTATACTCTGTAAATATTTTTTAAAACACTAATTTCCACTTTTTGTCACGTCACTGATATATATATATATATATATATATATATACTGCTGATTTCACTTTTTCGTGTAGACATGTTGAGCATTCTTCAAGCGTTTCCTATCATTATTTTATTTTAAAGCGTATGCAGCGTACAAGGGATAGATTAGAAGCACGTCGAGCTACAGAAAGAGCTATGGTTGCTGAACAATTGGAAGCATTGCGTACCACTGGACGTAAAGAAAAGGAAGCAGCTGATCGTGCACAGTATGAACGAAAATTAAACGAAAAAGAAAGACGTGAAGCTGTATTACAAGCACATCTATCTAAGAAAGAAGTAAGCAAAACTTTGATTTGTTTTCGTATGTATATAGTTTCGAATTTTGAAAGGTGACTTTGGTAATAATAATAATGATAAAAGGGACGATAACTCCTGATGAGAGCGAAATTCTATTTGTTATGCTGAGTTTCTGCATGAACGACTAATACTCTTTGATTATCCTGACAGAAAAACTTGATATTTCCCAACCACTCAATCAAAATGAACAAGGATTTCTGATATGTGTTAATAACAAGATTTTGATATCCTGAAATATTTTCTAGGTGTGAAATCCTTTACTAGGTTGCATCTGTATTTGATTTCACTCTGCTGCTCTTCTTCCCCCCCCCTTACCGTCTGTCGCTTTTTGTGTTATAGACTTTCATATTTACTTTTCTGTTTTTCTTAGAAGACTTACAATGTAATTAGCATGATTCTCCACTGCCTTCTGTGCACAATACAAGCTACAACTGATTTAACATTTTATGTTTAGTTGTTTTAAACCATAATAGAAATGTTAGTGTCCCAATCAAGGCCAAGATATTGATCTAGCGGTAGGGGTGAAGTGGACCAATCAGAAGCCGGCTGTATGGCCTCACTTTTAATTACTCTGATTTATAGCTTCACAGTTTTGGATTGTTTTTTAGGTGAAAATTTTTCTCGTTGGAAGTATTCTGTTTACACATAATTATGTGAGTTAGTCAGCTTCTGACTTTTATTCCTTTGGAAACTGGAAACAATTACTGTGCGATTAATTTCAAAATATATTCTCTGTTACTGTCTCTAATCGACTAATCATACTATTCTACAGGTTTCAGGATAACAGTCTGAATTGTTGCACCAAAATCAAACTTTTTTTCAAAATCCAGTTTCTATTTTAAAACTTTCCTCAGTTCTTTCTTTACACGCTTCTTCATTTCTAACATATTTCTCATTGATATATACTATAAAGAGGATGGAACTCTCTCAGTTAGTAATCCAATTCCTCAGAATGATGGCCACCTATGAATCAACATTTTTAAAGTACTTTACTTGTGAAAAGTGTTAGAATTTTTCTCACAATACTTTCAATGAATATGTGCGAAATTCAACGCAGGTTATTTTCCAATAGGTTTTTTTTGATACTCAAGTATATCCACTTTATCTTTCACTCAACCAAGCATTCAGTGATTAAAATGATTATTACAGTTTTAAAGTTCTCCACGCACTCATACTGTTTATCTGTTATTATATATAAATCAAATGTAACATAACCCAAGATAATAGTAATATTCTCTTTATTCCAAAACAATATTTATGATACATTATGGAACTCTCAGCACATAATATTTTTTAAAAAATTCATTTCCTGTACAATATTTTTCAAAGAAATAACTATTCTTCGTTGTGTTGTGTTCTCTGAGCTGGGTTGTTTAATCGTGAAACCTTCATCATCTTTCTGGACGACATCATCAGCACTAACTTCAGTATGAAGTGAGCTGTCAGTATCTCTCCGTGAGTGATTTAGTGGCTTGCTCTGACGATATGGTCTGTGGTTGGTCGTTTCTTTCGATTGTGTCATTGACTGTATAGACTTTCCTGTTGGTTGTTCCTCTGCCTGACCTCTGACCTTTCTGTCGTTTATCATTTTTCTTATTGGTTGATAGGCTGGGTCTATGTCTATACATCTGTTGATTGCTGACTGACCTGAATGTCAAGCTTCTAGGAATTCTATGATATTCTTTGTGTTTCCTCTGTCCAAGATTTCTACATCGTCGAAATTGAATTCATGTATATAGTTGTTATTCACGTGCATTGAAATGAGCGACGAAATGTCGTGGCGTTTAATAGCCAACTGTTCATGTAGACGAAGGCGAAGAGGGAGGCCACTTTGTCCAATATAGTGTTGACTACAGTTATTGTAGTTGATTTTGTAAATGATATTCGGTTTGTCATCTTTGCTTGTTGCATCTTTTGGTCTGCATAATATTGTTTGGAGGGAATTTGTTGGTTTATGAGCCACACCAATTCCAAGTGGTCTCAGTAATCTTGTTGTGATTTCTGATATATTCTTTATGTGTATGGTAGGACGATGCGTTTGTTGATTTCAGTCGATGACTTTGTAGTTGATAATACATGGGATAGGCATCTTGTGATAAAGCTTCGTGGGTAGCCGTTCTTCTTTTGAGTGGACATCATGTAATTTTCTTCGTTTCTCCGTGAAGCTGTTGTGCTGCAGTATGTTCTCGCTCTTTTGAATAGAGTCTGCACGCAACTGATTTTGTGTGTTGTTGCTACTGTAGTTGAGGATTTGGTCAGTGTGTGTTGGCTTTCTGTACACTTGGGTTTCCTGCTTTCCGGCATTTGTCCTGTTGACTAAAACATCCAGAAATGGTAGTTGGTTGTTTGACTCTTTCTCCATTGTGAATTTGATATTATTGAAAACGTTGTTGATCAAACTGTGAATGTTTTCTATATCATCTTTTTTAATGATGACAAAAGTGTCGTCCTCATAGCGAATCCAAGTTTTTCGTTTAATCACAGTTAGAATGATGGCTTCCAGTCTCTGCATCACTGATTCTGCAACTAATCTGGATATTGGTGATCCCATTGGAGTTCCTTTCATCTATTTGTATATCTTGCGTTGAATTAGAAGTATGTCACACAAAGGTTGGTGAGTTCCATCAGACTTCAACATTTGAGTTCTGTGCGTTCTGAAAGGTTTCTTGTCTTCATTAATCAGGAGGGACATCGTTTCCTTGGCCAGTTGAGGTTTGATGGATGTGTATAGTGCTGTGACATCGAAGGATATCATTCATTCATCGTATTCTATGTTAGTGTTTTTGATCTTTTCTAAGAATCCTGTTGGTGACTTGATGGAATGTCCTCATGATTGAACTAGGTGTTTCAGTTTTCTCGAAAGTTCTCCTGATATGTCGTAAGTTGGAGTTCCTGGAAGTGAGACTATTGGTCGTAGAGGGATATCGGATTTGTGTAGTTTTGGTCTGCTGTAGAACCGAGAAAGGACAGGTCTATTCGGTTTCACACACCATTTGTCTTGCTTTGTTATTTCTTCTGCTGATGGTGTCGCCCAGGAAGGCGATGAAAGCTTCACGATTAAACAACCCAGCTCATAGAACACAATACAACCATGACCATCCACCTGAGCTACAAATATCCTCCATTATTTCAGAAATAACTATTGCATATTAAGGTTTGGTTTAGACTGATGAATAAATAAAAAATTGCTTGACATTTTGATGATAGTGGTTTATTTAGCTAGTACAAAAATCTGCAATTCGACATAGGTACCCTAAGTATAGTAGTTTGCTGTATTTTCGTGTATTTACAAGCTAATTTCCTACCCTCATAAACTTTTCCCTTTGTTTTGTTGTTGGCTTGAAAAACTACAGTTTGAAAACATTCTAAAAACTTCCTAGAGTACATGATACTGTTAAAAGATATATATAGAAGATTAAAAGAATTGAAAGAGGAATGGCTTAATAATATTCGGCGGAAAAGTCTTGGTGGTCTAGTGTTTAAGCAAGCCACTATCAGTGATGGAAATAAATCCTAGATGCTTAAACTTTCAAGCCTATTTTTCATGTAGTTGTATATCACCTTACTTTTTATAACAATGGAAAACTTCTGTGACTTCCAGTGACTGCATTGTATAGAACAAAATTGCGAAATATGGATAGTTTTCGCAAAATTTTAATGTAACTGAAGAAATTATTGTCATCCAGTGTACATTATTTTCAAAAATTAAATTGGTTATGTGGATAACACACTCGTCATCATTCATAAAGACTTGGGTGGAAGTACTTGCAAGTTGGTTAATAACATGGGATACACATTAAAAAGATTTTGATTAACAAAGGAAACGTTTTGTCTAACTTCTCATTGTACCTATAAAGTTAAATAGTAGTTTGAGAATATAGTGGAGAATAGTGACAGCGACCAAATTTCAATGTAACTGGGTAGCAAAACATGTTAGTCTTACGTAATGTAAGTAATATGCAAACATTGCCCATTGATTAGATTTCAGAAGTGCTTTTTTGAAGCGAAAACCTGGAACAGAAAGATTATATCCAACGAAACCGAAATGTGCTGAACAACCTTGTGCGCATTTATGCAGTAGAAAATGACTCACACCTATTGTATGAGAGACTAGTGATACTTCCTGGCTGCCTAAACCACTGTAGGTGAAGCGGTGTTCGGACTTGTGACCCAATGGTTAAGTCATCTCCCTGAACCAATGAGCCACAGCTCTACACAAGTTATGCTCGACATAAAGATTCAAACATATAAAGCCATTTTATAGTAGTGAAACCGTCTGAACAATATATTCTGTTTTATAAAGTTAGCTATTCTGATGTATAAAAACGTAATTGAAATTCTTTCGAAAAAATAAATACACTTTGTGTATCATGCCTATAAATAATGTGTGATGTGGTAAAGTGTTGGGCTTCAGGATAAAGCTTCCAGTTTTATTTGATTCTCCTTTAGACGGCCATACTGGGAAGTGTTCTTGATATAATCTGTTTACTTATCTCCACAAATAAAAATTTTACATAGACGCAGTAGTTATCAGCAATGGGACCTATTCTTTTGATATTTTAATCAACAAGAGTGTTTCTGCAAAAAGTAGAAACATAGAAGTGTGATGAAAAATCCTCTTCTTAGTTGCTCTTTGGAGATGGGCCTGTAGAACTTGACCAATAGTATCGTTTTCAAGTTTCAACCCCATGCGTAATTAATTCTTTGGTTCTGTCATATGTAATATTAGGTTAATTTCTTTTAAATACATGTCAGTAAATAGCGTTGGATATGCATCTTACTTTAAAGTTTTCAAAACTAATTTCAGTCGTGTGTTCTATGTTTTTAGCGCTTACGCAAAATAAATTTTTTAATGATTGAAGTAATCATATTTCTTTTTCTCCGTATCCGCAGAAAATTGGAAAAATTGGTCAGTTACTTATTCCATTTTAGTCTCTGATGACGTGACTCTTGAAGTAAACCTTCACTTTTCCTTAACATCTAAGAGATTAAGAAAGAGAGGATATATGTTTCGGTTTCACTTCAAGCTGATAATTAATCGACAGATGTGCACCATTAAAGATTTCCAGAATCGTATTTAACTGATTTATTTTACTGAATATGATTAAAATCTCATTCGAATACCGTTTGTGAACCCTGAACCCAACAACAGTTGATTGAAAGTCACTTAACTCCAAATAAACCCTAAAGGAGTCAGCAAATAGGCGACCAATTATATGTCGCATTGCTGCTTTATTTGCCTGTTTACATTTTTCTTTGCTGAGCATTTAATATTTATTTTAAGATCAACTCTTGAGTATCCTTATTTTGTATACCAATGTTCTGATTATCAAAAGTAGTCAGTTTGGAGACCAGTTTCAATTGAATCTTCTTAGATTACACCTGTTTTGGTACTGCCGAAATAATGAAATGTCTTTCGGGATTCAGTTGTTCAAGGGTTCTTCCTGTCTTACGTTATAGCTGTGAAACAGGTATTTAAGTTGTGGAACATTTGAAAGTTTTGGGTATCCTATCACTGTTGTCTTTGTATCATTATTCCCGTTTTGTTCAATCACAATGTGAGGAATGATAAGGTTGGGTATCGCGCCCGTGTTGGTAAAAGAGGTTGTAAACTTTCATTAACTGAAGTGGCTAAAGACATATAATATGTATCTAATCCCCAGCCTAAGACGTCGCAGTTCTTCCTTCAAGACCATAACTAAATATTTTATTCAGTTTGTCGACCTATAGCTACAACATGAGAGTTACACACAAAAAGGTTGTCAAATATCCCATTTTAAAAAACTAGCAGTCATTGCAGCACTTACGACAGAGACTTCATGATGATAAACCTTACTTACTTTTATACATCTGTATTTATAGCGATTACTATTTCTTTTAAAATGTTTTTTTAATTTTTTCTGTCTTTTTAGGCTACTGTATCACCTGGAAGTCGTAACAATAATCCGTATCCTGTAAGATCTGGTTCATCAGCACTTTCTAAATCTGAAATCAATTTATCCTCCACCACACCTAGACGTAGTTCAAGTAAGAAACCGCTTATTACTCCAAAACGTGATCGAAATGCACCTGTGGCTTCTTCATTGGATACTTTCCCATCATCGAACGCGAGTTCTCGTGTTAACTCAGCCAAATCGAAAGTACTTCCACCAGCTACTACACGTGGCAGCGGTGATGGTGAAGCTTTAGATACAAATGCTGAACCTGACTGTGATAGCTCTTCTTTCCGAGAAAAAAAGAGTCGCACAATTCGTAATCGTCCTGTCAATGGTGGCAATGATGCCTCTCGTAAGGCAAGCACACCGCTGTCGTCTGGAATTAGTTTATCTTGTAAGTAGATATGTGTAAATCAAATCCATATGATATATATATTCAAAGTAACTTTGTATTTCATTATGGCTATCTCATCCTGCTAACCTTATGTATAGATAAGAGATACCACTAAATATCGACTCAAAAATTTTCAGTCACTGGTACGTGTTATTCTAATAGTTTTGCAATGTCTTATTGTAATTAAGTTTTACTTACAACAGTTAAATTATGTGATAGTATTTATAACTGTGGTAAAAAGCTTCAACCAATATATTAAATCAAATGATCTTTTACTAGTGAAGGTCGATAGGAATGGTTAGGACTGTGCATGTCGCCGACAGTATTATTAGGCGGCAAGTCATTTGTAAATAATTTGCAGATGTAAACGTTAATTTTTTCTAATTCAAAGCATATATTTTGATTATGTGTTTTACCGGTTAATTTAGAGCATCTTGTTTCAAGTGGAACTGAAATACTCTTTTTTTTATCATGCTGATGTTTATCTTAAAATGGTTGGAACGAGAATTGAACTTGGAACCAACCATGACTCATCAGTTGTATGTACCTCCATCCGGCTGAGATTTCAACTGAGCACTCATCACTTCAAACACTTCGACGTTATGCAATGAGTTTCTTCTTTATAACAACCACTTCTTATTCGACAAATGTCACATGTTGAAGTTGACAATCTTTTCTGCTGCAATACTTGCAATGAAACATATTCACCCTATACTGTCTCATCTTTTCCTTTTGACATAATTGGGATAATTTATGAGAGATTCTCAATGATGGGACTCGAAATCAGCCACAAGGTTCCAGTCTTTTTCTTTTCAGTCGAAAAATCCCTATCATTTTTGTTAACGGTCATTAAAGTCTATCTCTTCTCATATATTTTCCGTACTTCGATATCATCCTTTTTCTATATTCATTTTCTCTTTGTGTGTTGCTGTGAAATGTTGCGAATTAAAGTCTTGTCCAAACTTCTATGGTAATTTTTCTCTTTGATCCCTTTCTTCCTATCCGAAGACCCTGAGCTTACATCTTAAAAACGCAGATATCAGTTAACAGTTTTTCGATACTTACTACGTAGGGATGCAGTTATTATCTCCACAAAATGGAAATGAACTATTGAAAAGTGTATAATCATGCAAAATGTTGAGTTATCAGGATAAATATCATTTGCAACTTTCTTTTCCTTTTATCAGAAGTATTTTATTGCTTCTTTCAAAACGTGTATGTACATCAGTTTGGTGAACTGTATGGAAATGGGAACCAAATGACACATTGGTGCAATCTGAAAAGTTTGAAATCGAAGTGATTACAGTGCTTACCATTTTGCAAAGATGTGAAATATGTTTCAAAAGCTTCTCAACACTTACTTTCACCATTCCAACGTAAATCGTAGAAGTGTTATCAAAATAACACCTATACGCATACTGAAAACATTCAGCACATAATTTGTAAAATCGTCTATAAATTTCACACTACCTGTAATTAAGCAGTATTTAATCACTAAAACGTTTTACATTGTACTGATCTAGACATTTTTCAATTTCCTGAAGAAAATAGTTAAACTTAAGTTATTTGCTACTATTTATTGATATACTTGTAATTATCCGTTGTTTTGTTGGATCGAATTGTTCGATCTATATTGGTATATGAGCTCCTATGCGGATGCCTCGATATTGCCTGAGTGTTAATTATTGTAATTTGGTTGGTTGTGGTTAGCGGGAGAATCCAGGACGCGCGTTTCGTCCTGTTTGAGACTCATCAGCATTACCATAATTAACACTCAGGCAATATCGAGGCCTCTGCATAGGAGCCCATATGTCAGTAGAGGTCGAACAATTCGATCCAACAAAACAACGCAGAATTACAAGCATATCAATAAATAGTAATAACTACTACCCGTTGTACAAAAAGTGGCTGTCGTTCCTCCATGGCATAGTTGATAACCCCTTGGCGTTTGAAACGATGGGTACGGGATTCGAGTTTCAGTGGGAACAACATCAATCCGCAACGGGGTGCACGTGCACCCAGCTGACGGTTCCCAAATAGAACGAAACGTGCGTTGTGAATTCCTCTGCTAGCCACACCCACCCAAATTAAGTTATTTGCTTCTAAAGAGTGTGGAGTACATACTGACTGTTAATTGAAATTTCGTCCGAATAGGAAAAAGTATCAAGTACATGTTGTTCATTTATTCTGACAAATACAGAATCTAGAAATAGGACTTTGTTTTGTACTTTCTTCACCTTTTAACCTTATTATTTTACAGCATTTTTTTGATAGAGAGATGTTCTAAAATAACCATATAATTATTGATACTTGTGTGATATACATTGTTTGTGTTTTGTTTTCTGGCATTTATATGAACGATATAAGGCTTCGATGCGATACGATTAACGATAAAACAATGTCTTCTCAACACGATACTCAGCTGACATCAGGAGTAGAAAAAGACATTGAGATTGAAAGTATACTTCAAATGAAATAGTGCAATTGTAGCTGAAAGTTTAGTCGTTTATATACTTTTTTAAGGGCCTTAACCAGGGAAAACAAAATAGTATATGAAAGGTGTAAAATGGACCAATCAGTTAAGGTTTAGTATCTTAAATCGCGAGAAAAAATTAATACCATTGCGTGCAACAAAATAAGGTTTAAATATATACATACTATAAGTTAATTTTTGGGGAATCAACCATCCCTAACAGTTTGCTTTCATTCTAATCACAAGACTTCATTGTTAAAAGTAGACAAATATTCCACTGTTTTTACTTTATCCTAACACTTCTGTATTAGTTTTATTTAACCCTTATTGAACATATTGATACAGTATTACTCATTAATTGACACTTGAGATACAAGTGATTGCCTGTGATCATATCCAAGTTATCAAATAACTTTTGACACTAAAATTATTGGTTGTCAAAAATTGTGTGGTCAGTCGACTATGATTATGGGCAATAATTGGTGCCTCAAACTTCAATCAGTTAATAACGCTCTATCACTGTGTGCTATGTTAGAGAAATAAATTGAATATGCCGTTAAATTCTAGCACAGTTCATATGCTCTAGACTTATACTTTAGTAAACACCTTCGATTTGTATAAGAATCCCATTGTGATTGGAGCTGAGAAGCAATCATCTTAACTCACTGCCTGGATAACTCATTGTTTTTGGATTAGGAGTGAACTGTCGTCTCTGCCACCTGATGAGTCCACAAAATTATGAATATTTCTCCTATCCCAAAGATATGGTTCGGATATGTAGACAATATGTTTATAGTACTTAAATCGAAACACATCAATAGGTTCTTGGTACATATAAATTCAGCAGTGAATGAAATCCAATTTACTTGTGACTTAGAAAGTGATGAAAGTGAGCTAGCAGTGTTGGATTGCAAAGTTAAACGAACACAAGATGGTTGTTTATAGACTAGTGTCTATAGGAAACCTTCCCATTCGAATCACTACTTAGACTTCAAATCCTCCCAACCCATCTCATTTATAGTAGGCTTAGTTAACCACCTAATTGATGGGGCGAAAAAGCTTACTAGTAGACCAGAAAATCTGCTGCAAGAAATTAGATACATCAAGAATATCTTGTGTCACAATAATTACCCATCTAAATTGACAAATAAATTCATGAGAAATCGAAAGAAAAATATTAGCAGTGGTAGTAGTAGTAGTAGTAGTAATACAGGTGTTGTTAATAATCCTACTACTAATGGTAATAATCGTGACAATGTTGAGACAGTTCGAAGCCTCTGCTGTGTTGCCATACAAGGAAGGTAGCTCAGAAGCATTACGAAGAATTCTCAATAAAGCTGGGATTAAAGTAGCACATTAACCGACACTCGCTTAGAACCAAGCTTTGTAGGTTAAAAGATCCTATCGATGCAGTTGAACAAATTAATCGATCACGGTCGATTAGAGTAACAGAGCACAAAAACCCAGCTAAATGAAGATTAGTAGATCCTAGCTCTATATGCAATTACACAGTAGGGTGTGACAGAGCGATAGTGTTTAAGACTAACTTGGTTGGGTAGAGAGATTGATTGATGACCGAATCTTTGTTTATCGAATCAACACCGAATACGTGCAATCGAAATGATTCTGCACGTGTGCTGGATGTCTGGAAAATTCTACCACCGTTGTGATCACAGAGAAGGGTAGAAAATTAGGACTATCTAAAGGATGTCCCAAAGTTGTTGAGTTAGGATATATGAATAGGGATAATAAATTGTGTCCGAAAAGTTATCCAGTAAATGATACTGTTTAGCTATGTGGCGTTTCTAATAAACAGACTAAAATGGAATCTCTCTGGTGATTTCTTTATTTAAAAAATTTCCACTACCTGTTAATACATCCTACAATCATCTGCATTTGTTTGCAAACATAATTCATATTTCTGTTTTCTTTTTCTTCAAGCATTACACCGACTTGGTGCTTCAGAATCACTGTCTAGCGGTCCTGGTCTACCTGTTCAATGTTTAAATCAACCGCGTTTATTTGTGAAACCTAAAGCAAAATCAAATCGAACAGTAGTTGTGAATGCTATCAGCCATTGTTGTTTAGCTGGAACTGTCAACGAACCAACTAAACAACTCGCACTTAAAGTTTGTTTGCTTTGAGATTGCATATGATACGTTTTTAATTTGTGGTAATAACTATTATGTTTTGTGAGGCTGCTGAATTTTCTCATCTCATTCTTAATCGGTCTGAGTTAGAAAGAGGAAGCGAAAACCGAACTGGATAGCATAATCCTGATAATCTCATAATTAGCTATTGCTCACATATACAACAGTCGGGCAAAATATCTGGTTGATGGAAATTAAAGTGAAACCTGTTAGGGAGTTTGCTTCTTTCTTCAGCTACCACAGTACTGAAACAGTAATCTAAATACTGCTGGTTCGAATTATATCATAACTTTGTTTTGCTTTCTAATTTAGTTATCATTCTCAATTCTTACTTTGTTGCTCATTCTCATAAACTCTAAGAATAACGAAACACAAAGTTAATTATAAATATGGAAAGCTTAATTTTATTTCTCTCTCTTGATATTACTTTTGGATTTATAACACTCAATTGTTGTTATAGGTTTTAACCAATCAAATCACCGATATAGCTCTTAAAGCCTATGTCAATATAAGATGTTAGTTTGATTCTCTATCGATACTTTAAACATACCTACTGGTCAGCCACTCAACTACAAAATGAATAATCTCTGGTCCCCAACCTAGAAACTAACTAGTGTCACTCATTGATAAAGAGAAAATAGTCACTTTTTCCTCAGATATACATACTCATTGTAAGCCTACTGTCTATACGTAGTTATATATGATAAAATGCTGTACAATTTTAAAACTATTTACTTACAGAATGTGCATTTGATCTTTGGTAGCTCCACCCTATATTTAGTTCAAGGTTTTATTCAATAGATTATAACATAGTAAAGAAGCTTACCGAATGACTAGAGGCCTGTCATACATCTATCTTGGATAAAGTAATGTCATGTTAAAACCAGTCGTTTGGTTTTTAAAAGTTCTCATTCATATATGACTACGACTCAGGTATTGAAAGATCTGGGTTTTAATTTCAAACAAAGGTTGAGTATTCAGGTACGCTTTACATCTCAAGAAATATCGAATCTAGGTTAGTATTCATTGTCATTTACTTTTCCTATCACTGTGACTATCTGATATTGATATTTATCAATTAATAAAGATATTACCTACACATTTATTGGTCACTGGAGGATAACCAGTTTCATGTCTGCTTCTAAACGCTGACCGAATTCTGTCGATCATTCTATGGTGTGATCACCAGGATAATAGACTCACTAACGCGGTGCACTTTGTTCGATGTTAGTTGGTTGGAGGCAATCGGCAGTTAGCCTTGTACCTAGGTTTCGTGCTTGCTAACACTCATCAGCAAGAATTACTTGTCATTTCGAGGGAATTGGTGTTTCCTGTGAGACTACAACACTGTGTGGCACCAATTCGAATCTCTTGGAGTTGTTTCCCTCAGAATTGCAGATACGCCTTCCTGACTAGTGCCAGTGAGCTCGAATCCTTGTTCTAGAGCTTCGTGCTGATTGCTTTCAACCAAGTAACATATTACCTACACGCAGATATTCTGTAATCAATGACGATTGTCATATGTACTAAATAATCCAACAGCTCAACAGTGTGAATACCTTTATACAATAATTTGTAATTGATTTTCTCCAACTATCGATCTATTGATTTGTTCTCATATGCTACTTTTTTTCTGTACAGGAATTGGCTGCTACTGAGGGAACCCATTTCATGATACTTTTCCGAGACTCACGGTGTCAGTATCGAGCTGTTTATTCATTCGATTTAGAATCTGAAGAGTTGAGAATTATTTGTGGTAATGGTCCACGTAGAATAACACATGAAATGGTTAATAGGTTTTTCAAGTAAGTTCCCCCCCTTACACTGATTTTTAAACACTTTCGAGAGTTTACTATAACGTTTAGGATGAACTGATCACTTATTTCCCAGAATTTTATATGGTTTGGTATCAGAAACAAGCATTTTCTTACACACTACATGTTGTACTTTCTTTCTCCTTACCAGGCATGACTTTTCCGTACGCATGTACTGTATGCTGGAAATTGGTTAGCATACAGGCTTCTTAGTCCTCCATGTGGAAAGATACTTAAGGGATTTGATAAAATTCATTATTGAACATTTTCGCATCGTTGCGTCATAGCTACCTTTTTGATGTTGGCATGGTTATTCTTATCATGTTCAGTTTCAAAAAGATATTCAGTCAGTTTTTAATCAGCTGTTTTAAGTAAGAAGACATGTGGCAAGGACTGTCATCGTACCTGACATTTAAATCTACAAGACGTTCCCGGAAGAGACTTCAATACACTTATTTCACTTGGAAGCTTAACTTGTTAACAGTATAAGTGGACAACGATTGCACATTCTGCGCATTCTAAATAAGCCAGTGTCCAAGTTTTCGATTTGTTTGACAAGACTGCACTTTGAAATTATCTGCTAAGCAATTGCACTTTTAAGAGTTTTGAATATCACAAATCTCTTGCACGTCAAATCCTGCCAAATAATAAACACTAGGTTTCGATATGCTCAGGTGATTCCGCTGTTCTGTATTTTAACTTCTGCATCTGAGAAAGTTACTGAGATACTCTTCATATAGATAGGCTTTAGATGCCGTACGTCTATTACCGACTACCTATTAAAGGACGAGTATACTGTGCTACAGTCCCTTTTGTCCTGTTGTAGGGTTGTGAGACATGGCCGTTAAAAATAGTAGACATGAAGCGATTACAGGCTTTTGATCACAAGTGTCTTTGTAGCATTGCTTGAGTTTGGTGGAATCACGTTGTGAGCAATGTCGACGTCGCGCGAAGGGTGCTAGGCTAGACAGACAAGTCGACTGATGAGGTTATGAACCTTAGTCGACTGCGATGGCTTGAATATGCACTTCGCATGCTGAACGACCGCCTACCTCGCCGTGCCATGCTGTGGAAAGTTTGATTAGGTTGGAAGAGGGTTCAGAGTGGCCATACTAAGACGTAGCACCAGTGAATAAAGTTCATTGTACATTGTAAGACCAATAAAACCTGTCATCACATACACCTTTCGTAACTGGCTGTTAGAAAGAGTTGAAACAATCGAAATCAAAGTTCATGTGTATTTAATTGTGGCTTTCATCCCACTTGCGCATACCAGTTGACCTGTTTGATAGTAATTTATTACTATTATTGTTATTATTATTATGATCATTATTTGTCTTTTGGGTTCCTAATGGAATATAGGGCTTCAGTAGCACGTCTCCATTACACTCTGTTTTCTGCAATCTTTTTAATCTGGATCCACAACTGCCCGGAAGCTTTCATTTTTTCCTCACATGATCTCCTCCATATCACCCTTGCCTTGGATGCCCAACTCGTCGTTTCCCACTTGGGTTCCACTCGAGAGATTGGCCTGGCGCGTGATGTCCCCAAGTGATAGTAATATGGTTTGGGGTATTATTATTGTTTGTCCCTTGGGTTCCTAGTGGAATATAGGGCTTCAGTAGCACGTCGCCATTTCACTCTGTTCTCTGCAATCTTTTTAACCTGGATCCACGACTGCCCGGAAGCTTTCATTTCTTCCTCACATGACCTCCATGTCACCCTTGCCTCGGACGCCCAACTCGTCGTTTCCCCTTTGGGTAAATTCCTATTATTTTATCTACCCTTGATAGCTGAGATATCGCATGAGAATTTTCGTTAAACCTGAAATACGCAAACGATATAGTCCTGTTAGGTGAAGACTCTAACAAGATGCAGTCTTCTGGACGCTTTGAGTGGCAATTTGAGAATGTTTGGGATGTGGTTCTCACCAGCCAAATGCAAATTGTTGCTCTAGGGTTGGTCTTTAAGGGTGCCATGGCTAACAGTAGAGAGTATAGTAGTTGTATGTTGTCCACTTCACTTACCCGGGAAGTGGGCTTCAGGTGTTTGACCACCGTTGCCTTCGTAGTATAGGCCGTATTCCGTGGTGTCACCACGTGAGTAACACAGAAGTCAGGTGTAGGGTTTTAGGGAGAAGATGTAAATCAGTTGACGAGGTTATGAATCTTCATCGACTGAGATGGTCGGACACGTATTACATATGTCTAGTTGCCGTCTGCCTCATCACACAACGTTGGGCGAAGTAGGTGAAGGCTGGAAAAAGGCCCGATGTGGCCAGACTAAAACATGGCACCAATGTATGAAGTCTCTGACTGTTGGTTTGAGCCATGTGGGGTGATGCAGACTAGGTGGTTGGGGTCGGTGGTATAAGAGGAACCAGTGGTTGGAGACTGTAGGTGATATGGCTGATAACCGATGTCATTGGCGCAGATGTATACATACATTATCCTCATGATAACGACTCTATACCGAATCTCACCATTTTGTCATTCTTCATTTTTCTCTTTTCGTACTTTATATTTCTTTTGACTGGATTTTCTTTTCTTCATCTTGTACTTTACTGCCTTTACTTGATGTACTGATATGAGTTGTGGCAACTCGGACCGTTAGGCAGTAATGCCTGGTCCTATGTTGGTTTGGATGTATGATAACTGGGATTCGTTGAATATCCTCGCATTTTTAGTATCATAAACTCTTTCTTTACATTTTTCTTCTTGGGCGCTAGTATTATTCATCCATGGTTTGTGAAGTATTGAAACTCTACCTTAGACATGTGTAGAGTGGTTAATTTGCAGGGTTAATAATCACTGTACATAAATATCAGCCCAGATTGTAATATCCTTTCCTTCGGCAACTGACTTTCTGGTTTATATTCTATGTACGCTAATAAAGCTTATTCGCAAAAGATATCATTCGAAAACAGCATTTATTCCACTTATCTTTATATGTCTTTCCCTTCTTTCCACGCTCTTCTCTTTTTACCATAGATATATACCAGTGAAGTAATTCCCTATGATATGAAGACAGTATTCGTTATTCTTTGGATTTCTTTAATAGTTTCACAAACGTTTACCAAATATGTATGCACTTTCTTCTAACGTGATAGTTAAACGTTTAACTGCTTAATATAAAGCAAAAGGAACAAATTATCTTAATGAATATTATACTGAATAAGCTGTTAGACTATATTTTATATAATTCATTTTCACTCTCTTATAGTGATTAGGGCATATATACATCCCATAATTTTATATCCTAACAATTCTCTATTTTTCATAGGTACAATAGTGGAGCAAAACAATTCACTGAAATCACTTCTACAAAGCATCTTAGTCCTGTAGTTGATGCTGTCACAATTCACGATGCTCTTTGGAATAAATCCGGTGGTGCACATACAATTTTACCAAGTCAGTGTTCTTGAATATTCAAACTTTTATTTTACTTTTTTTCTGTGAAAGAGAAATAACCTGAATTTTCCTCGTTGACTACTTGTTCCCTTTACCCTACTACTTTTTGGTTTTTGAACTATGATTGTCCTCATAATGTCTTTATTATTATCATCATTATTATTGTCGTCATTATCTTCATCACCTCACTCTCAGTAAACAGTACGTATCAACTATGTAATCATCGTAATGCTTACCACTCTTATGTTAATCCGTGGCAAAGTAAACATTTTATTCCTGTTTTTCTGTTTCATATGCATTAGATTGCTATCGAGAAAGATTCTGTGCGCTTGTTCATCAGATCATTTAGACCTACTGTCCCTCCATATATACATAATCGCACACACAGAGAGACAACTCTAAGAATACGTATCAGATAAATTCATGCAACAACTGCATTACACAATATTCTTTATATTGTGGTTATACAAACAGAATTAAACAATTTATCAAAATTATATATTTTTTTTGTTATATGATGAATGTCTTTATGTTCATTCATATTCTTTATAACCATACCTTCGTCTTGTCTTATTCTTGCAGTGTATTCTTATTTGCCAGATAAAATGATTTTCTGCATTTTTCAATCTCCCTGTTCATTTTTATCTTTCTATCACCTGTTTTATGTGAGTGTAATATGTACAACTTTCAGATACACCATTGGTCGTGTAGATTTTCCCTATACTTTGAGTTTCTAAAGAATGTATGCCAAAATATTTTGGTTTTGATTTGCGAACTACTATTCTAAAAGTCAACTTGGAATGGAAGTATATGCAAAGTTTATTTCTGTTTTTTATGGTTACTCACAATATCATTACTAATTGTGAGATAAACTATGGGGAGAAGGGGAAGATTATTAATCTAAGCATTCTTAGACATGGAGCACATGTGCATATCTAAATTGCCCATATGTCTGCGTATGTGTTTTGTTCTCCTCTCGAAAAGCAAATGGTATGGCACTTAATTTCTTGGTCACTGTTTGGTGCTTAATTGTCTAACGTTTTCTTTCATTCCTACGTTTATCAGTTTGGCATATAAATGTTTTATATAACGCATAACTTCTCTCCCCTTTGTCTTTCGGTTCAAGTATAATTGTAAATTTACGTTGATTTGTTTGTTTTCTTCTTATGTATGTGTAGTTGTCGAGGTATTTTCCTCTGTAATTTCTCTTCTTTTATTTTCTCGTTCCATTACTATTGTCTTGATGTTTATCTCCTGAATTGGTATCCAGTGTTGATTGTTGTACACTACACTGACGATCTTAGATATGTTAATGTAAGCAGAATGGAATTAGTCGACACCGCTTCTTTATTAACCGGTCGGTTCTTTTTTGTTGATATGTGTTTCATGTTCAGCTATTCCAAGTGTATGAAAGCATATGACGTTTTGTTTTTTATATTTCAACTCACCTCAAAAATAATTTCTGGGGTTAGGATATATTCCTTGTTGTTGATATTTCTGAAAATGTTCTGTTTATCAAATATGAACATCGTGTCTTGCCCATGTTTAACCGAATATATCTGTCAGTAGTGTTGACTAATGAGTTATGCATTTGATAAAATCTCATTCTTACATAGCGTAAAGTATTCTTGGTTAATATCCACAAATTTCTGTAGATATTTCTGAGTAGATGCTAGGGTCATTTACCTAAAAAGTCATGTTACTTCTGTCAGTACAGACCAGTTCACAGACTACCTTTTAGCATTTAAGAAAGCACATGAAAAGTTTGCTTTCAATAACCACCACTGTCAGTCCTGTTACCTATTAATTATTTTTCTAGTTTCTTGTCTCGTACTAACCATCTACGGTTACATACATGATGGCTGACATGCTCTTAACGGAGAAAATGGAGGAGTCGAAGGCCAATTTTCAAACCGTATCCATGTCTACTGTCGCAAGTATGCGATAACCCACTCCAATATTAGTAGGCTAATCAGTCTCATATCAGCGCAATAAAGAGTTTAACTCAACCTATGCATTCAAGATATAAACGGGGACCTAGTCCGGGTCTAGATTTTCCTCGAATAATTTCTTCTCTCACATTGGATGACCTCATGGTCATCTGCCACCTTAGTTTACTAATTAAACTTATGACATGCAATGAATTCTCAATTTTCACCCCGTCTACTTATAATAGCTTCTTTTGATATATGTTATTCCACCTCTCTTTCGCCACTCTACTTTTGTTTTCTAACTTAACTTACGGTGTCTGTTTATTACAGGAACTGAAATATCACAGTATGCTATATTGCTTCAGTGTCTTTTACCTTTGGATTCAAATTCTCGTGTTAATTTCTCTATTGTACGACATAATTGTGCTCACTTCGCTGTAGAGTCCATTAAGAGTGTTCCTTAGGTACACATTCTTCTGTGAGTCCGTACGATGTTCTTCCGTGCCACGAAGGTCTGTTGAATAGTCGTAGGACAAAAAGCAGCTACCGTAACAGTAACCTGATGGTTTGCCACCCGAAGTGTTTAAGGAAGAATGCAAAAAATTACTGAGTATAGTATCGGATCAGAGGCAGTACCATCAAACTGATCATTCCAGCTTATAGGAAGCCAGTAACGTTTTCTTTTGACAACCGTGGCGTAGTCAACTTGACTAATTTGGTGTTCAAGACCTTTGGGTTCGTGATTTTCCGACGCCTAACTGCAGCCTGAGAAAATCAGGCAGGTTTCAAACCTAGAAGAGGGTGAATCGATCAGATTTTCGACAGGTCCTAGACTACAGTCATGCTTACCTGCGCCATATATCTTGACTTAAAGATGCCATTCGACTTTGTCAAACATATTGTGGTAGTGTCTGATTGCGAAGGGGGTCTTGAGAAAGTATATAACGCTTATCAGGCCATCAATTTGAACTCAAGCAGCTATGTATGGGCTTATTCAGAGTTATAGTCTGGATTGACGACAACTGTTGGTATCCACCAAGGACGCCCACTGTCACTATTGCTCTTTAGCTTCCTTTTATATGTACTGATGGGCATTACCTTAGGTACCGCTAATATTCTATGGAGGACATTCAATTACCCTGGAGTAAACGTACAACATTCTCATTCTTAATAAAGACGCTGACAAAACGTAGAGACTTTTGCAGAAATCTGAATATATGTGAGTGGACTGTCGAATAATAATCTTAGGCTTCACTCATGATGGTCACTCGGCTCCTCAAAAACTTAACACCGGCAAGTTTTTAGTGCCGAAACGAGGATTCTCAAATACGAGTGTGCATCCACCCACTCTTAGAATACTGCGATGTACTTCAGCGAACTTTCTCATCGCCGAATGCACTGCCTCTTCATGCTAAAGGGTGAAATGGCTGTAAATCACATGGGACAGCATGCCCTTGATATTCATAAGTGTTGTGCCAACTGCAAGGGAAATACCAACTTGTTAGGCATACCTCAGTGTTGCAACACAGAATAAAGGTCAGCCGTAAGAGGTACGAAAGCTATCCATTTCACGCAAGGAAATAAATAACCGCATACTTTTAATAGTGCCCTTCTTTCGCACGGAAGTCCCAAGTGATTTCCGTCGCTGTAAAGTAGAGAGGAAGAAGCATCAAGGACTGCAAATACTGAATGAAGTGGAAGACGTTTCCGTAAACAATAGCCATGGGAGCAGAAAAAGTAGCTAAGAGGAGGAAAGTAAATTGTTTTATTGCAATAATATGTTATCGTCTACCTTCACGAAACACATTTTTCTACGTAACTTCGTTCCACACTAGTGGTGGATTATGCCAATAGCTATAAGTGTGTTTTCTCAATGAAATGCTTACGATTTGACAGCGTGTGAAGATATTACATCATTTACTTGTTTCAGCTTCAAAATGTCCAGGTTGAGTTCACTTAATGTCTTGTGTCCAATGTTCCTTTTAATTAACGTCCAGAAATCATAATAAATGTTAACCGCTGATTCTGGACCACTTATCAGACAACGGTCGTTCTCATGCTCAGCGAGCACTGGCGGATGCTTTTCCGGCAGTGATCACAAAACGTAGAACTGCTGAATGTTGCCACTCACTTTGGCGAATTCTGATCTTAAGCGCAATAATTCCCAGGTGGTTAGGATCTGTGACAGAAAAAGAATACTAGAAAGAAGTTTTCTTCGACTCCAAATTTGTATTTCCTGCTACCTTAAGCACATGTGTGGATTTTTCAACCGGTCTAGGTGGTTTTCCAATGTGGTGACCGCCTTCTCTCAGTTACTGTCACCCAACTACTGTCTGAGCTACTTGAGGCCCTTGTATCACTATAAGTGATGCTTACATGTGATTGAACGGCATAAAATTGGTGACAGGTGCAGAAACCGTACAGTAACAGCAGACTTAAGCGTATCTGTCAATGAGAAAGCGACATACATTCCAACCGAAGTAAGTGCATAAAGCTGGGGGCATTTCATGCTATACAACTCAAGGCAGTAACTCAAGAAGCGGTATGCTCTTGAGTGCCAGTGGTAAGGGCAAACTACTAGCGATGGGACCTTGCATCATGACTGGCCTCAACCAAGTATGAAATAATACCAGCAAAGTCAGAGGTGTCCGAAATGCCACTCACAGTGTTTTGTGCATGTCCAAAATAAACTTTGGTATTCCATGCAAAACACCTGTTTGCACAAATGTGGGATGCAGCGCTTCGATACTTACGTCATGATTAATAAAGAAGAAAGTAAAAGCGTGATCTTCAAAAAACAGGGGGTACAGTGCCACTTCATATTAAGATCACCTGGAGCTGATTGTAGTTCGCATCACGTCTCCAGATGTAACGCGTTTAAACTGCAACCTCTGTGGGAGGGACAAATGAAGCTGAACCTTATATTTATTAAAGTTACCTTATGAGGGCATGCGCTCAGGAGTCCCAGGAATTAAATGATTGTTAGGCCTACGCATAAAAAAAAATAAAAAAAAAAAAAATTGAGTAGTGACATGTTTCGCTCGTCTCTCAGCTTTTGGATTTTTCCACAATGAAAAACTCCCACTTGCAATACTCAATCTAAAAACATCGAACGTTTGCAGCACTTCTGTCCATCCACGCACCTCACCCCTGCGCATTCGTCAGCTCACTCCTCAACAGTTGAAAATTGGCATTATTATTCCTTTGAACCAACCGGTCTACCTCCTGTCAGTGGTTCTTGGGCGTTTCAGCTGCCAAACTGCCTTAGCTCTCGGTTCTCCTCGGAGGTCATTCCCCAGGAAATATCTTTCCTGGTTATACATACGCATCTGGAGCTTACGGTTAAACTCGTTGGTCAAGAGCAGAGGATCAAGTGACAAGTGTCTGAAGGTGAGCCAACATAAATTATCTTCCCTTTTCTATTCTGTCCTTTTCCTGCATTCAGTCTTCAACCCTCTTATTGTTGTTAACTACTTGTTTTCCCAAGAAGTTTATATCATAGCGACATGTCTGCCCAAAACGCTAGGTCTGAAGCTTTGACACGGATAACGCGGTCGTGCACAACAACGGCCAGTAACACCCTAAACAACACACTAGTCTGTACTAGAAGACAAACAGAGGTAGGGCAGAACATCGAACTTCTGAAGAAGTGGCCAACCCATGTTTCTAGAATTCCAGTAGCCATCAGACAGGTGACACAGAGAAGCACTAGCCCGTCACAAACTAGTCCTATCTTGAGCAAGGATCATACCATGCCTGAACATAGAAGACGACGTAAAAGGCTTCAGAACAAGGCAGCCACAAGCAGTTCGCCACAATCCGTAGCACCTTATTCATGGAAGGAAGGCTGTATTACGACACCCGATGGCTGCAGTGTTTGCACCAAAGTTGTTTCGGTAGTCGATGAGGCATTTGCATGCAACCTGTGTCAACGATGGGTGCATTGCCACTGCGATACCAAAGTCCCCCGACAATACTATAAGCTGATGAAGAGACAACCATGCAAGTGGTTCTGGTACATCTGTCCAGAGTGCAGGAAAATGCCCGCACTCCGCACAGAAAGCCTGAAGGAGATGCTCTCCGCCACGCAAAAGCTACCAGCATCCTCGAATAAGTAGGGTTAACACCAAAGGATAACACAGAGAGACCTGGAAACAGACCTAGAGCTCCAGCTGTGGGCACGCCATCTCGCGTGGGGACCATATTAGGTCAAGTCTCCATACCCCCACCCGGCCCCAGGGGACGTCAAGCGCATGGCCAAAGACATCGACCGCCGAAGCCTCTACGAAACCCATTCCGAACACCCCACACACCGTGACTGAGAAACAACCAGTGGAATTACTCAAACCCATTGGGAAGTCGGGCGTGCCACCCACAACGAACCCAGGTCACAGGAGGACCAACTCGATCATTTTGTTCAACGTCGATGTATCGACAGACTCATTGTTGGTCGAGAGGGAACAATTTGACAGCCGAATGTGGACCGACTACTGTCAGATGCTGGGACTCCCTCCCCTCCCTGCAACTTTGTGTCGCCTTTCTCGAGGAAGCCATGCACCCCGAGATAAGCCACCCCCTTTACGTGTGTCCCTAAATACCGCCAAAGAGGCTGAAGACACACTCCTCCTCTCGCGACAACCGGACGTTGTTAATGCCTGTAAAATTCGGGCCAGGCCTGACAAGCCATGGTCAGTAAGAGAGGAGGAGAGAAAGTCAGCGGTTGGAAATCCCAACAGAAACAACACTATAGTTGTACATGGGATTCCAGAATTGCCAAGTGACAGCTCGGTCAAAGATCGGTACTTTCACGACGTCCAACAATGGCAATGGCTCTCAACCAAAGTTGGTCTCAACAGTATACCGGCCAACAGCGTCAGTAGACTGCCAAGGCCAGCGCACCTGAAGACCATACCCAATCCCAGACTACTTGCCGTCCAGTTCGACTCATATGCCTCCCTCACAGACGTTCTGCACGCATGGTATAATGCGAAAGATCGCATGGGTGGCTCAATACGTATATGTGAAAGTAAGCCTAGACCCACAAGGCAAGAGGAGAGACGGCAACCACCAAGACCTCTGGAGTCAGTGGTCGTCACACAGGCGCTGACCAGTGAGTTAGATACATCAAGTAAAGAAGCCACCACTGCTACAGCCCCCACCCAAGTTAAGAACAAAACACAAAAAAACGGAACAATGCCAGTCCTATGAGGACTGGCGAGGCTAAATTCAACCACGTAAGCGCTCATCCCGCGAAAATACACATCCAGACCTCCCCTCTCATCAGGTACACTCTAATATGTATGTACAGCAACGTTAGGGGGCTAATAGGGAAGGTAGCAAAAATGAGGACGCTGCGTGAA